GCATTAGGGAAGGAAGTGCTTCCTCCACAGGGTTTCAACAGAAGACATGTTTGGGTGGATGCTTGACATATGTCAGTCAACTCTTTACAATTTATATAAATTATTTGGATGAAGGGATCTAAGGTGTGGCAGCTAAGTTTGGTGATGGCACAAACATAGGCAGGAATGTGAGTTGTGAAGAGGATATAAGGAGCTTACAAAGGGATATAGATAAATTAAGAGAGCAGCAAAAATCTGACAAATGGGATATAATGTGGAAAAATGTGAATTCATCCATCTTGGAATAAAAAATGAATATCGTCTAAGTGATGAGAGGTTGCAGAGCTCTGAAATGCACAAATCACAGAAGGTTAGTTTACAGGTACAGCAAGTGATCAGGAAAGCTAATAGAATGTTGTTTATTGCAAGACGAATGGAATGCAAGAGTGGGGAGGTTATGCTTCAGTTATACAGGGCATTGGTAGACTGCATCTAGAGTATCATATACAATACTGGTCACTGCAGTTACGGAAGAATGTTAATATATTGGAAGCAGTTCAAAGAAGGGTTACTAGAGTAATATCTTGAAAGGGATTTCCTTTAGGAAAGGCTAGGCCTGTACCGTTCGGAGAGTCAGAGGTGACCTAATTGAAACATATAAAATCCTAAGGGGCCTTGACAGTGTGGATGTGGAAAGGATATTTCCTCTTGTGGGACAATCTAGTACTAGGGATCATAGTTTAAAAATAAAGGTTCACCCACATATGACAGAGGTGAGGGGAAAAAAGTTTCAGAAGGTTCAGAGTCTTTGAAATTCCTTCCTCAAATGGTAGAGGATGCAGAATCTTTAAATATTTTTAAAGGAACAGATAGATAGTTCTCAATTGCCAAGGAAATGAAAAATTATCAGGGTATGCAGGAGCATGAGTGGGGGTTAAAATCAAATCAGCCATGGTCTTGTTGAATGGTGAGTAGGCTTGAAGGGCTGAGTGGCCTATGCTTGTTCTTTATTCATATGTTCATAAGACCAGTTGGTCTATCAGTTTGTCCCGATCAGGGTGGTTAGTAGACATTTCTAAACTCCCCACTGCCCTTCAGCCCTCCTGGATGAGGCAAAATGAAACAACATCGGGGGAAAAGAAGGGAAAAAAATAACCTGGAAAATTCCTTTAATCCATTTCTTGAGGTTTTAAAAGATTTACCCCATTTTTTCAATGTATTAAATCTTCAGATAGCGAAAGGGCTCCAGTATCAAACCCAACCTCCACTGACTCCATTGCACACTGCCTTAGCTAAAGGACGATGGGTCACTGTGTGGGGCCAGTGGACAAACCTATCACTAAATCTTTCAATGGTTTTACTCTCAAATCAACTCAGAGTTCAAACTTCAGGAATGTTTTAATACTTCAAGAAGATTTCTTGTGCTATGGTAGAGGATATTGACATGGTAGAAAGCATATATTGTTTGAAGCACTCCCAGCCCAGGTACATCATGGTCAGACACAGAACAAAGCTTTCCAAAGGTCTAATATACTGGTATTAAAGCATTCTCAAATGCAAGTCTGTCTTTCCTTTCCAACTCCGATCTCTTCTACCCAGTGAAAGAAGTTACCAATCATGTACTAGCTTCAATATAGTGTGTTCCATGGGCCCTCATTCATGGGGAACCATATTGAGATTGATGAGCACTGATTTGTGGAGGGGGCCCAAAACCAAGAAAATCTTAATTCATGATTCTATTGGAACCTTGATCCAAGCAGTGATAATTTAATTTTGATTGTAAATAGAGGGAAACAAAGCAAGAAATCATGCTCTAATGAAAATAAAACCTGGTTTTGTCCTGGTCTAAGTGATTGTGCGCTTGTTTATCAAATAAATGTGAAAGTACTTACCAATTATCTACCTCTTATTAACCAGCTTGTATTAAATGTATGTCTCAAAACTACACATTATTTTCGAGTGACATAGAGAAATGACAGGAAAGAAATGTGGAGAAAAGGGGAGAACGGGTGTTGTACAAAAGATAAAAGTGGGAGGGGGTGTGGTAAAGGAAGGAGAGAAAGACATGGAATGATAAATGAAAAGTCCAATGAAAGAGAAATTGAAAAAGACATAAGGGAAGGGAGGAGAAAGTGGTTAAGTAGTCATTAATAAGGAATAGAGAAATTGGGGAGAGTGAGAGAGAGAGCGTGTTTGGGTTCATGAACAAACCTGCTGAACGTGGTCTGCTTTCTCCGATGCATGACTAAATATTCTGTTGTCTCACTAATGGATAAGCCCAGTTATCATAATACTGATCATTATGCATTGATTACCAGTGTTATGATGCTTTCAGTACCTTAGCAAATCCCCTATCCTTCCCTTTGTGTTGAAGTTACAAGGATTATCGTGTGACAGTAATAAAAGTGGCAAAATCCATCAGCCTCCATCTTACCAGGATTATTCACATCTTTATTACACACCATGAGCTCGTATGTCCAAAAAGGAAACAGTGTTTATATAGCAAATCACAGTTCCCAAACAAAAAAAAATGCAACATAAAACAAAATCAAATGCAAATGTCTTCATTCAAATACATTTTCAGAGTATCCAAGGGGAATTAAATATGGTAGCAAACAAACCACAGTACTTTTAAGACCTGTACTCACCTTCAGCACTTAAAAGAACTTTTCTTTATTATATATACAGTATTCATATCTATATGAAGATTCAGTCTTTGCAATGGCCACCATACGGCGCATCCATTGGTCCATTGTACTAACCAGAAAGTATGGAGGACAATAGTAATTTAATATTCCCTCCACCCGTCCCCATATAAAGCTGTGAGCATCCTAAGGAGGAAGCATTTCCAATCCATTCTGGCTTGCTGAATGGAATCTCTTTTCACAGTACATGGAATCACATTAATTTTAGGTGGTGACCAAATTGCTCCCATAACCTGTCCCTCACGTCCCCACCCACCCAACGTCAACATCTTTTGCAAGGTATTTTGCTAATACTATTGTGGTTGTCGCATTATCCATCACTCATTTTGTCAGATGCAGGAATGAGATTCCGGTCTCCCACTTGCCTCAATGTGGAAGACAGCTGGATAGGACTGAACAAGATAACAGAGGAGGAAAGAAGAAAGTAAATTAATGCGGTGTTATCACCAGGATTTTAGTGAAGTTTGACAGTGGTTGCAGAAAACTTCCATATCATCTACAGTGACATGCAAATAGGATCTGAAAGTAGCACTGCAGATTTTCCAGCCTTGCAAACTCTGGACAGGATTCTAATCTGTATAACACTAGGCTGAAGCGTTGCTGTGACACAGGTGGTGGGAGCGGTGAATTAAGAACAGCATACAAGAAGCATATTGGCACGAACATTAAAGCATATTAGATTAAGTGTGAATTTTTGACAAATGTTGGGCCAAGTATTCTCAAATAACCCGAGTGTCAACATTGCAGTGTATGATAGATACACGGCTGTAAACCAGACCAGGAAAGGTCAATGACAAGGAATACTGAAACAGTTGAAGGAGTGCCTGGTCTTGCAGTATTTTAACTTTATTAAGCTCTCTTCACTTATACATAACTATAATAGCAAATTAATCAGTGCAACTGGTACATCAGTGGGGAAGGGTGTCAGTATCTACAACTTGCAGTACTAGCCAACTCTATTTCATTTTGTCAGGGTGTGAGTGAAAGAGCTTCTTGTTCTTCCTCCAGTTACTATTTTAACCTCTCTTATGCCCTGTCGATGAGCTCATTTTGATAATATGAAATGAAGCCGAACTTTAGTATCACCTAATTCTTAGTCAACCTTGCTCATGAGCTCTAATTGCAGTTTTATTTATTAGGTTCAACCCATACTCCAAGAGAAACTCCAAAAAGGAAATGTTTTCTTTCAGTAAACCAGGAGAATCAAAGCCTAGAATGAAATACTGAGACTGGGAATGTCTTTAAATTGGTTCAGTTCAAAATAAGTGTATTAAGGCAAAATCTAAAATATCTCTTACATGCAAGTAACTCTGAATAATGCTGGTACTTAAAATACTTTTGTACAGGTTAACTTGTTGAATAAAAGTATTTAATTAAATAGCGTGAATGATATTGAGACCTGCCAGGTGTGTTTAAAATTCCCCAAAGAGGGGAAAAGCATCCAATGGGGACAACATTCTATTTGGACAGAAACGTCAAGCTCCACTAATTTTAAATTGAGCCAACTTTCTAATCTTTGGGACATTTTACTACATTAAGTGCCTAATACAAACAACATCTGCTATTGTTACATTACGATTACATAAGTTGTTTAAAGTTAGTACAAAACAAATTGTCTAAAAAGCTTTTATGACCACTCATTAAGTGTATACCGTCAAAGTGAGCGAATTGCAGCTTCAAAGTGGTTCACTGCACCCCTGCTGTATTTCCAACCTTGCTGCCCACTGTCAGAGCCCTGGTCTGAAGCCCATGCCCAAAGACTGGCAAAGTAATCCTGCACTGATCGATGTTAGTTTACAGCAACAGACTGAACTAAGGTATGGCTGGAATTCAGGTTCTACACTCACAGCTTGTAGATTTAATAGGAAACAAATAAAATTCATGAAAAATTAAAATGATTAAAAATAATTCATGGCACTCAAAAGGTTCCTGGCGCAGTTTGCTTTGGTGGGGGATGAGACCCAACTACCATTACACTTCAACTCATTAAGTGTCTAGGAGATTTTATTCCATTGGCTTCTCCTGAAGGTTCAAACTTGTGTCTTCTAACCTCTGATACCTCACTTCATTGAGAGAGGATTCAGTGCAGAGCTTTGTTCTGCCCTCACTCAACAGTACGTGTACCTTACTGTGATCACACTTGCTCATACAGAGATCAGGAGGGGAAACTGATATTCTGCCTCCCTCTGTGCCCAAAGATGGTGAGATCATTTACTAAAGTGATGGGGATATAAAATACTTCTGCTTTGACTTGTAATATTTAAAACAAGTGGAAGAGCAATAAAGTGAAAATCTGCACACCAACCAGACAGTAACTTTTAAAAGGTTTGGGGCTCAGGTCCTGCTCCAACTTTTATTGAAATGGAAAATGCAGACACCCTATCCTCCCAAACATTAACCCTCCAGAGCTGATCCAAACCTCTAGAACCACAATGATAAAGATTCCAAGCGAGACCATTAATAAAGAAGGCCCCAATCTTCAGTCACAGACACAAACACGTTGTGCATAAATACAGAGAAACTTATACAAATAGGTTTGATTTTTCTTCCCTTCCAATATAAAACAGTAAATACAAGAGCTAGAAATCTCTCCGAGGGTAATATAAGAGAAGAGAAGTCCTCTATCATTTCTCTCCCCAACACTAAACCCAATAGGGTATTTTTATTTTCATGGCCACCTGTCAATGGACTGGACACCTGATTGCAGTATTTTGCAATGTTGGACTTCTGAAGGACAGAAAAGTTGCTTTGTTCTTTGGTGGTCTCCTCACTGCTCCAGTGTCACCACCTCCACAGCTTGTCCTTCCACAGTTACTGCAGACGACTGGATTTCTGTCATTCGAGTGGTGACGGGGGCCATTGCAACCTGCACGGGTCTGTTACCCTGGGCCAGGCTAGTGACGACTGTCTGGTACATGCTCACTGGGATCTGCACCAGGCCTAGCAATGAAGGAAACAGAAAGAGTCAGCCAATTGACGACACAGACGCCTTTGCCACAGTCATTCCTCCCTTCCCAACATCAAAACCAAATCCTTTTGGGTGAAGTAGCCCAGTCTGTAGATACCTCCAATTAGGTCGACAACTTTTGAGTTGTAGTCTAAAGTTCATTGGTCAAGACACTTATTTTGAGAGGCACAACACCAACCTTCCTTCCAATTGAAAAATCAGACATGCTCCTTTTCTTCATAGGGAAGTGGAGCTTGAAGTAAATATTATTTGGAATTCTGCTCAGTCAAGGGCTCATCACACCAGAGCCATAGTTACTGATAGTCAGCTATAGGAATGCAAAGAATGAATTAAGAAAGCAATGCATGGTCCCATGATGCCCCTCTTTTTTCATTACTCACTCTGCAAAATAATGGGGACTCTGACCAGCACGCTTAAGCTCATGAGGAACAGTTCTGTAAAAATACTTCACAATTCCTAAGGTAACCAAGCAACACTGCTGATCAACTTTGACTATAAACCTTTGCAGTCTTCCCTTCACAAACATTCCGCATGTTCAAATCCCCACCTGACAAGGAGCATCAGATCGTAGAATGTTTGGTCACATCTGCATCCTTTAATCTCTGTTTTCAAGCAGATATTTCCTGCATGATCTTGCACCACCCTTTCTCTTCTAGCGTTCTTGTCTCAAGCCCTCCGATCTGACATCCAACTGTAATGTGGAATTTTCAGCCATCTTGTCTGGTCTATCTCCCTGAAATCCTGCACCTTGCAAGTTCTTTCTCTGCCTGTGGTCACGTCCAATTTCTCCAATTCTGTTTGGCACCTCACTCCTCTCTGTGAAGTATTCTGGGATGTTTTCTATCTTGTGCACTATCCAGTTACTTTCCAAACTAAATAATGTAGTGTTGATGGTTTTTACTGGGAAGCTGATATAAGTGACCCTTGGGAAGAAGGAAAGAAAGCCCCCATATCGGAATTTGAATCAGTACACGGCTTTCTCCCCTTGAGAAAAAGAGAACAATGGAGGGAGTAAGAAATACGGGATGGGTGGGGTGGGCGAGAATTGGGTGGGTTCAGGGTGGGATGGCTGGGTAACTGTGAACCAACCACGGTTAACTAAGGATAGTATCAAATTAAAAGAAAAAAAACATACAATGTGGCCAGGATAAACCAGAGGATTGGGAATGTTTACAAAGCCAAGGAAAGACTACTAAAACCATAATTAAGAGGAAGAAAATAAATTTTGAAGGTAAAATAATATCAGAGCAGACAGTAGGAGGCTCTTTAAATAGATGAAAAAAAAAGAGGCCAAAGTGAACATACGCTCCTTAAAGGATGAGGCTGGGATATAATAATGGGGAACCAGTAAATGGCAGAGGAGTTGCTTGGTAGAAGATTCCAAAGCTTTCCAAAAATCCTAAATAATCACAGGAGAAACGTGACAGAGGAAATAAATACAATAATTATCATTAGACAAACAGGAATAGGGAAAATACTGGGGCACAAGATTCTCTGGACCTGATGGGTCACATCTTAGAACACTAAAGGAAGTTGCTGTAGAGATAGTGACTGTACAGAGATAGTGATCTTCCAAGCATCCGTAGATCTCTGGAAAAGTCTCATAAGATTGGAAAACTGCCAATGTAAAACTCTTATTCAAACAGGGAAGGTAATAAAAGGCCAGTTAGCCCATAGTGTGTCATTGTAACAACAGAGCAGTTAGCAATAAAAATATAATTCAGCGGAGTCCGCATGACTTCATAAAAGGAAAATCATACCCGACAAACTTATTAGAATTATTTGAGGAGATAACAAGCAGGATGGATAAAAGGAAACCAGTAGATATAATATATTTAGATTTCCAAAAGGAGTTCAATAAGGTATGACACAAAGTTACTTACTAAGGAAAAATATACTAGCGTTGGAGGCAACCCAGGGAAGGTTCATTAGGTTGATCCCAGGTATAAATGGATTTCTTTATGAAGAGATGTTGAGTAGATTGGCCCTGTAATAACTGGTGGTTACGACAATGAATGGCAACTTTATTGTAATAGACAAGATTCTTAAGGGGCTTGATAGGGTAGATGCTGAGAGATTGTTTCCTCTTGTGAAAGAGTCTAGAAGCAGAATGCACAATCTTAGACTAAGGGCAGACGGCTGTAGAGGCTGGGTCGTTAGGTATATTCAAGGTTGACATTGAAAGATTTTTTTGATCAGTACATGATTCAAGGGTTATGGGGAAAAGACAGGAAAATGGAGTTAAGATTATGAGGTCAGCCATGATCTTACTGAATGCTGAAGTAACCTTGATGGGTTGAATGGACTTCTTCTTTTCCTACATCTATGAGGAGAGTAGAGGGAGGTAGGGAGGGATTAGTAGGGGTAAGTTGATCACAATCTCTCTGGTTGTCTTCCATCATACAGCTAGTAACCTTAGGATGCTACTCAGCTCCTTGGGTCTGTTCCACCATTTAATTTGATCATGTTTGAACTGGATCTTTAAAAGACAATATGCCGGATGTGAATACAGAAGGAAAATTTCCTCTGTTGCCTAAGTGCAATACAATTTCTTCGTACCATTATTAGTATATTTTCTGTTAAGAACAAATAAAGGAAATATTTTCCCATTGTAAAATAAAATTGAGAAAAGTTAGTTGATTTGGTCATGACTGCAGTTTTGGCGAGTTCGAAGCCTAGTCTGTTTTGGGTTAAGTGGATGCAGTCTTTGTGTTACAATTGGTCTCAGTGTCTCTGGGTTAGGTGGGTGGAAAATCACGCCTGCTCCCATTGACAAATCGACTGGAAGTCTAGACAAGGGCAGTCCCCTCATTGCTTCTGGCTGAGACAAGCTGACACCCAACACAGAATTAAAACTGAACCTGGGATCATGCTCAACTGTGTTGTTCAGCTCCTCAAAGTACTTAATTCGGCAAAATACTCTGGTCTTTGGAAATTGTGAAAGGTGCTGTACAGATGTAAAAACGTGATTTTTACTTGTTGGACTACCACAGGGTACCTGTGTGGCAAACACAAAGAAAACGAGGTAAACAGCTACAAGTCCAACATTTAAAAATGTTTCCCCATTTAATAACATTAGCTGATCCTCTGCAGCTGAGCCAGGTCTGCTGGGCCTTTCTGTGCCAAGTTTTTTTTCAATTTAGGCTGAAAGATTCAAGGGACTTAGGCATCTGAATGATTTAGCGAAGTAGAGTTAATCCTACTGGTTATATAATTGATGATTAATTTGTAAACAGGCAGAGGTTTTTCTTTGGTACTCATGTCTCTATGTCTAGAACCAACCTCTAATTAAGCTAATCTTTACATCTTCACCCTGACATGGGCTGACAAGCTTTCAAATTATATCAAAAAATATAAAGCTCTCTCATTCTCCCCACCACCTCCCCCCAATGCCATCCCACACCCCCACAACATACAACCAAATCAAAGCACTCAGAAGAAATGAAGAGGATCTAAAACTAAAGGCTATTAATAGATACTTGTGTACTGAAAGCATGATTTGGACGGCAGGGTGTATCATACACCTGCTGCTGGCTATCCAGAGATTGCATACTCCATACCCAAGTTTGCACCTCTGGCCTACATTTCACAGGACAACAGAGAGGAAAAGGATTTATATAATGACAACGTGGACAGTTCTAGGCACCACACTTCAGGAAACATATTAGCTGTTAGGAATCATAGACAGGTGCCTTTCCAGGGAAGGGGACATCAGCGTTGAAGAAAGGTTGGAAAAGTTAGGATTGTATTCTTGGAACAGAGAAGGTTAAGAAAGAGGTATTTCAAGATCGGATTTGATAAAGTAGATAGAGAAAAATCTATTCCCAATGGCAAATCGATCAATAACCAAGCTTCAGAGATTTAAAATTACTGGTAAAAGTGTAAAGAGAAGATGTGGAGCAGTAATTTTACATGGAATTGCCGAGATCTGGAACTCTAAGAAGACGGTGGATACTAATTTCATAATAATTTTGAAAGGACTCATGCAGTTGCTCGAGGATGAGGAACTTGCAGGGTTATGGACAAAAACAAGAATGTGGGACAAAGCATGACTACTCCTTCAAAGAGCGAGCACAAGCACAATGGGCAGAAGGCCCACCTTTGAGTTTTGATTACTTAAAAAGGGGCACAATGAAGGATGAATCATTGTGCAGGTGTAACTTCCAAACACAGTGCACGTTATTTTACATCGCGAATGACTCATGACAGTGAAAGGTGAGCCAGAAAGTTAGCTTTAGCAGTTAATACCATAAAGGTTTACTTAGAAGTAGAAATTACAATCATGGTTAAGTGAAATTCCATGAACTGTTGAGTATGTTCAGCACAGAAACAGGCTTTTTGGTCCAGATAGTCTAGATCACGATTTGTGCTCAACATGAACCTCCTCCCACTTATATCACCTAACGCTATCAGAATATGCTTCCATTCCTTTCCCCATCAGGCGTTCATCTAGCTTTTCCTTCAATGCACCATATTATTCGCTTCAATAATTCCTTGTAGCAGAATATCTGCCCACAATTCACACTTTGTGTAAAAGGATAATTTCCTCATTGCATCTTAAATTTGTGACTACAAGTTTTAGAATCCTTCATGCGAAGTGCAGCTATGACCACTGTCCCCTAGAAGTGTCAAAATATGTCAGGTTACGACTGTGAATAGCAAAGGACTGCTAACTCCCTAGTCACAGTCCACACACTTAAGCTCATTAGTCCTCTCCAAGACTGACTTGAACATGGCATTCTTATTAAACTCAATCGCACAATAACACTGCTCAGCGACAAAGCTTCTTCAGATGTCACTAGGCACTTCTTATCAAGACAGTGGTTGAGACTAATCACTGGACGGAGATGGGAGAGACTTGGGCAAATTTGAAATCAGAAAGGATTTTCTTTCACTCCTTTCCTAACATTAACTCTGCTTGGTATCCAGTTTTGTATTCAGTGTGTGCCCTTTTCACAAGGCAATCATGTGACCATTTTTCTCAATAAAGCCTAAATAATAAGTGGTAGCAAACTATTTGACTGTGGGAACAGTCTGTTCTTATCCAGTATTTGGTCCTACACTTATGTGCACATAGTTTTCAGAAAAACCCACTGGTTAGAAATCACACATCAGATCAGGCTGACACTTTCTAGTTGCTGATTGGCTGCTACAGGTGGGTTTCAGAACTGACAATCAGTTGAATTGGCTATCAGTACCTGGCCTAGGTTAGGAGCAAATTGGGCCTTTGGGAGAGATGTGCTTCGTTAGGAAGCTGTTTGTATGGTATCAGATTTGCAAGTAAATAGATTGGAATATAGCTGCTATCCTACAGTGAGATTTTCTATTTAAGCTTCTCCAGTGCACCGCGCACACAGCAGGGAGCTGAATAAATCACTTACAGTTGATTAGTAGTTCAATACAAGAAAAACCTTTCCATTTGAATGGTCCTATCCCTTCCTTTCCCGGCTGATTTTCTGAGTCACATCTTGCCTCCTTCCTGCTGTTAAGGCATTGCTGGGGTACAGCTCCAGAACCTACCATCGAATAAATTCTGACCCATCAAACGCTACCATTATTGGTAAGGCACAGATCAGATACAGAATAAGCCCTAATTAGTCTCTCTCTTCACAGCTCAAAGGCATAGAGCCAACAATAGTGCTCCCACCACCGCCTGGGTTGAGATCAGCTGTCTCCACACAGAGGGGAAATCATATCAGCAACTCAGCTCCTTGATGCATTAACCAGTTTAGCCATCATTGGAGCTTGGGTCAGGTGCAGACTGCTAGTAGAAAGAGAAGCTGTTTGCTACAACTTAGTTGGTTATGGCAGTGATTAACAAGTTTTATTTGTTCATGGAATGCATTTGTTACTGACTTTGTGTAGAGGAGGATGTTCCAAAACCTAGTCTGTCTCAGCTACAGGAGAAAGCTTTATAATTGTCCTCCAAAATCTTAGGTTATGGCAGAGAAATCATTTGGAATCACTGCTCCTAATTGCACTTCTTGACCTCCTGGGAGTGTTCCAAAAGGAGAACTGAATTCAGGTTGAGAGGTTCTAGAGTGACATTGAAATGGAACTGGTGAATTTTGATGTCTTTCATAAGGAACAATAATTTAGAGCAAAGATAATGAGATTAAAATGGGTGTTTCAAAATAAAAAAAAAACACTCTCTAACCACAGAACCATTGTTACAATAAAATGTTAGGCAATTCTGTAATTGTCAGCATCAAAACTGTCTCTTCATGTACATACGCACAGCCTGGAGGAATCTCAATAGCCTCTCAGTTGCCAGGTTGCTTTTCTGGGTGAGATTTCATGTTGTCCCATCATTTCATGGAATCACAAAGCAGTATAGGACAGCAAAGGGGCTAGGTAACCCATAGAGTTTGCACCAGTTCTTTTAAAGAGAAATCCAACAAATCGCACATTTCTGCAATCTTTCTTCCTTTGTGTTTATCCACTTTTCATCTCCCCACCTAGTACCTGGCATTCAGTTGGATGGCTGGTTTATGATACAGACTGATGCCAACAGTGCGTGTTCCATTCCCATACCAGCTGAAGTTACAATGAAAGGTCATACCTTCTCAACCTTGCCTGGGGCTACTGTCACTTTACCTAATTCTCAATCTCACTGCATAAACTTTCTTCTAAAACTGGACATAGCACTCCAGTAGACATGTGTTTTGTATAGACTTAGCCTAACTTCTTATATTCTATGTCTTTAGTTAGAAAGTCCAAGATCCCATGTGCTTTAACTGTTTTGTTAAGCTGTGCTGCTGACTTCAAATGTTTGTGCACAAACACCCACAGGTCTCTTTGTTCTTGTACCCCTTTAAAATTGCACTTCTAGTCTCTTAAGATGGCCTGCAACGTAAGACAAGCTGAAAGAAGTGCCCTTCAAGGAAAATCTCCATAACTAGCAAACAAACTTTCAAATGGACAATGACTAGTACACAACATTGAAAGGCTATATTTACACTGATGCAGTAGACAGTCATCTTCTGAGCCTGGGACTGACATACTCTCGCAGGGGAAATTTCAGCCTCGCAGTTAGTGCTACAACATAAAATGGCTGTCAAAGTCGAGTAATGAAAGGAGAATAAAAAACATGATAATTCAGCAGGTGAACAATAACTTCTCAATGCTGGAATTGAATTTAAATTTGGCCCAGGCTGCTTATAAAGTGCTTATGTGAAATGAGTCTGGTAGTGTTTGAATACAACCCCTACTGGGTCTGAAGCCTAGATGATAAACCAGAAGGATGGAGGTGTCAAATATATTACAGATTGGACACTCATTTGAGGTTAGTGGTCATGCACATTATTAGGGCAGACTGGAACTTCATTCTACACCTAACCGAAGGGATCATTCCTCGTGTGCGAGCTGTGATAAGAAGTATAGCCCTACATTTGACTGCAGAGTCCCAGCACTGGGAGAGAGAACTCGGTCTGGGTTTATTTCCAAAACCTGACAGCCCTAAAATGGTGTGCACCCGTGCACAGAATGAATACATTTCTCTAAGAGTTGAAACTAAGTTTCAAGTCAAATTCAAATGGTTCTCAATCTCTCTGCTATTGAGTGACAGCACCAATAACAGGAAAGCATTTCCAACACAAACCTTGAGCTGTCCCCAATAAAACCTTATACTCAGTGGTGAAAAAATATTCAGGAAAAAGCTGACTTGGATAAGAAATTTACTGGTGAGAGGGAGAAAGAGTTGAGGAATTCTATAACGTTAAATGGAAAAGCATGGATAGACCATAGATGAGGATTGGATTAATGGGTTAAGGTGCCCAAGTCTTTAAAAGTGAGTTTATAATGGTAAAAAGTGATCGAAAAGAATACAAATACACAGGATATGGGATTTAATGAACATAATTCCTGGAACGTGGATGTTGCCTGCAAGATCAAAATTTACTATCTATCCCTATTTACCTTCAGAAGGTTTAGGTGGACAGTCTCTTGAACCTGTGCAGCTGCTTAATGTAACTGAGAGGCTTGCTAGGCCACTTCAGAAGGCATTTAGCAGTCAACCATTGGTCTGGAGCTATGTGCAGATCAGATTACAAGGACGGTATGTTTCCTTCCTAAAGCACATTGCAAAAACCTACTGAACCAACAATATTACAGCTTCGTGGTCACTTTTACTGAGATTTACAATTTTTTTTTTAAAAGCTGAATTAAAATTACATTGGCATATGAACTGTAATTTTCTGTATTATTACCCAGGTCTCTGGACTACTAGTCCATTAACATCACCAACTACATTACTGGGCTACAGGGAATGTAGAGCTGCCAAGACTATCAAAATAAAGGAATGTGCTGATGGGCTCATCACTGATCATAGGTGTGCTTCCTGGTAGAAGTAAAATCGCTAAACGTATCAGATTATTTGGTGGAGAAAACTATTTATACATACATAAACATTCCATATATCCAAGCATTATACTTTACTACATTTTGAGTGACAACAGTTCAGGTGCTAGCTAAGCTTATAGTTCCTCGCTGTGAGGCTATGGACTAATTGTTGCAAATGGCGTCTCTCATCTGTCTCTGCTCTAAAGCTCATTATCCTATATCTTAAAATATGGCCAGCAGAAGCTGCCCTGTAAAAGATTACCAGGCACCTCAATCTGCACGAGTCGATTACAATAATTACTCCTCTGCTAATCGTCTTCATTTTTTTTTTACATGAAATCTGTCACTCTTGATCACTTGTCTCTATTTGGAATTATATTCAGATGTGCAGATGGATGAAAAATCTGCCTTAATGCAATTGGTACTTTTTTTGCCATCAACCTCCTCTCTAATTTTCATGCAATGGTCACATAAGGAACAATCACACAAGTCCTATGCATTGCGTTAAAACAACTGCATGTTGAATATTTTCTTCAGAGCTGCCCCTCACGCTCGATTGTATCCCCAACTCTCCTGAAAGTTTGAACTGTCACCGAAGTATGGTTCCACAGATTCTGGTAGTCCTTTAGTATGTTGCCAAGGGGCTCTACTCTATGTGTTAATCCTGACAATCTGTGCAGTGTGGATATTTGACTGGCGACAACATCTCAATTAAGCCCAATCTGAACCTCCTCAAACACCCACTCATTGCCAGACAGAGAGGGCTGAATGGCCTACTTCTGCTCCTACATCTTATGGAAGGGTAATAAGCAGAATAGGGGATTACTGTTTGATTGGTCAATGTGTTATAAACTTTTAGGAGAATTTGGATTTTCTAGTTGGCCTATGTTCCTTGGTCCAGGCAGCTGTCATGATTTGTACTGCTCGAGCGCAGACTTGATTGAAAACAATTAATTCATTGGATATCAACTGCTACACTGGTTGATGCCTTTATTTACTAGACCATGAGATTTAGAAGCGATTTAAGTTTTTAGAATCTTCTTCCATTGGTTCAGTTGCAAATTGTTTGATTTAGTATTGCAGAACCCTACAGCACAGAATTTGTCCTGCTGTGTCTGTGCCAGCTCTGTAAAACAGCTGGGCACACTTTTTGACCACCTGCTCTTTCTCCATAGTCTTGTAATTTTGACTTCTGCGGGAATGGTCATATGCTGTTCAGGGTACCTTCACACCAATATTCAGTCTCTTCCCCCTTTTCACGGTTGGCACTTTCCTGCATTATGCACCTTCTGTGACCTGGGTGATACCATGCAGACTGGGCCCTCTTATATTCAGAAATGTTAAAATAAACTAAAGATCACAGGTTTGAATCTTTACCAACACTGATTTCTCGATCCGGTTTGTTGCACTCAGGGGCTTTCTGTTGATTGCTGCCCGTGGTACTGCGGCAGACAGCGGTCAACTGGGAAGGAGCGGCAACCTTTACAGGAACGTACAAGGCCACTGTAAATTGCAAAATACGAGAGGGGAATATAATGGAAATGGCACTGACACACGCAATCTGAAAGCAGCACCACTAGCACAAGCACCCCAGATGTTCAGCACTCTGTCATTGGCAGCTGTGCCCTCAGTGGCCTAAACATTAAGCTCTGAAATTGCCTCCTGAAACCTCTACTTCTTTGTTCTTTAAGTTGCTTCTTAAAACCTACCACTCTAAGTCTGGTCATTTGTCCTAAATTATCCTGATATAGCTCAAATTTTATTTGATAATGCTGCAATGAAGGACCTTGGGGCATTTTCCTAATTTACAGGTTCTACATAAAATCAAGTTGTCTCCTAGCAGATGACTTCAAGTGGTCTTCCTTAAAGCCTCCAAACTATGCTCACATGCACTCAGCAAATATCTACAAAGGGTCAAGTACTACTTGTTTATCCATCATCACAACGAACAGATTTACATAATTTCATGAACATTGTTTCCTCTCCGTTTGAAAAGGGGTTTTCTTAGAAAAGGCATCTCAGCCAAGTGGCCATGTGCACCCAACCTGTAAGAATGACCAGACCATTCAACAATAGAGGCCATCCGACCCAATAACCCTCCAGCACACATGCCTCTAGTGTGTGAGGGTTGCTCTCACTAGATTGCGGAGACAGAAGCATTGGTGATTTGCTCCTCCCTAACTGTGGAATACTGATCTCTCTGTAATACCCTTAACATCTTGCTGACTTGACAGCAGGTAACTCAGATTGAGGATCAAACTGGAACGTTCCTGGCTCAATTCTGCAATGGATAAGCTCACTGAACCATTAGAAAGAGGGCTTTTTGGAATCTGCTTTTAACAAAAGCAAAGTCAACTGATGCAACTGGTTTTATTCCGCTGATCTAAGGGGAAACTGAAGAGAAGGCCAGAGTGGGGGTTTCAAGCCGAGCATCTACAGCGTGACACAAAGGGGTGATTTGTTCTGCTGCTCCTCTACTGGTGATTACAGGCTGCAGATTACTGCAGTCACGTGAGCTGCTTAGAACAAGGCAAGCTGTCAGGAGCTGCTAAGGTCAGTGTGAGCTTTCTATGCAAAGCTCGGAAAAGGGAGTGGGGGGTAGGAGGAGAAGACAGTTTTTTTTTAAAAACTTTTGCAGTTTTTAGCCTGTTCAATAAAGAGTTCCTCATATCCCTTTCATCCCTTCTAACCTGAAATCTCTAGGATTTTACAATCCAAGTTTGTGTGGCCATCTTGTTTAGTCAATGTTTCCAATTCTTTTTAACACGGATAACATATTGTACAATAGCTCTTAACCTAAATCGGCAAATTACCAACTCCAACACTTATGCACACTATAACTACCAACTCATTTGGTGTCTAATGTTATTGTTTTTCCTCACCTGACCTTGTGTGGGGCTGCATTATACTACACTGTATGAGTAGTTCAACTCATTGAAGAGGGCAGAGATCAAGTTCCAACTAAACCGGCACTGGGACTGAAATCAGATCTACAGTTCTTCGGCTGCTCAAAAGACAAATGCATCATCGACTGAAAAATATCACACCCGGAAAGAACTGGGTTTCAGTCCAAGTGACATCACTATTGTGCCACATGAGATGTGGCTGATATTGAGTCAGGATGGTAGATGCATAGCTGCATCGACCTCATTTCTTTACACAAAATTCTGGTAACAGTCTGCAGCTAAAGAATTGCAATCCCAATGAACAAACAGTTCAACATTCCATATCAGAGGTCACCAGCACAGAGTAGAGAATTAAACAGATTACACAGACATGAAAGCATGCTCAAGCACATGCGCAAGCACACATACATTCATGTGCATGCACAGCAAGGAGACTTTGTGGAAATACAGAAAATAAAGATTAAAGCTTAAATTAAGAGCAGTTTGCTCTTTGGGAGCTCTCACTGTCCTCGTGGCTAAAGTCAGTGCCCAAAACACTGTGAGGTTAAACAAGTCAGTAGGTACAGGTTTGATGCAATGTTGAGTTGCTGGTGTCAGGATTTCTCAAGCCTATATGTGTGTTTGAATGACAGATAGGAAGACAATTCCCTCCCCAGCCAAATAGTCTGATGTATGAATGGCTACATAACAGGAGCTCTTCAAGAATGGAGACAGGTGTTTGGGGACAGGGCAAATATCTACATTTTATTCCCCCAATGGGTAGGTGAATCACATGCCATGTTACTGAGCCCTACAAACCAGGAAGATATCAACCTTTTTCCCTACTTTTGTTGATTGATGATTTTAAACAGTGTCATGCTGGAGTAAAAATCTAGACCAAATCAACATCCACTCTCTATTGAGCACTAGTAGAAAGTTGGTGAGCCTGTACATGCACATTAATTTGTTAAATAAAGGAGCTATTAGGACAAAGTAGCTTGAAGGAATGCTTTAAAACAGGGAGGTGTAAGGAGGGAAATTGCAGAATTTAGGGCCTAGACAACTGAAGGCATGGCCACTAAAGGTGGAGTGATTAAATTTGCTCAATGAACCAAAATTAGACGAATGCAGATACCTTGTAGGATTGTGGAGATGGAGAAGACTACAGAAATAGGAAGGAGTGAGGCAATGAATTATGATCTGGGATATACTGCGGAGTGATGGCAGGAGATTCAATAATAATTTTCAAAAGTCAAATGGATAATTAGCTGAAGGAAAGAGAACTCCCTTCTGGGGAATCAGGAATGGTGATGAATTGGTCAGCCCTTTCAAAGAGCCAGCAGAGGCACAATGGGCAGGTAGTTCTCCTGTGCTGCAATGTTCTATGATCGCTCTTCCTCCAACCAACTCATTCCACGCAATCTTTCTTTTTCTTGAAAGCTGAAATCAAGTTACATGGGGACTCTTTTCTACTCTTAGTTACTCCTTCCCAGGAGCTCCGAGTTGGGAATTGAGAATTTCCACTCGGTATTTCTGGAGATTCTGTTTAAAACCCAAGTTTGGTATCTGATCATACATCTGTATAGGAGAGGAAGGTCATATAGATCAATCTATCCCTCAGCCCCAAAAAAAACAAGTTTGCCCCACCTCATCACAACATCCAGCTACTTTTTAAATGTTGCCAGGGCATTTTTGTTCATTCTCAAATCATTACAAGCATATGAATTAGGAGTAGGAGAAGGCCATTTGGCCTCTTTGAGCCTGCTCTGTCATTTAATAAATTGTGGCCTTAACTCCACACTCCTACCTACTCCTGATATCCTTTACTCCCTTGTTAGTCAAAAATGTATCTACCTCTGCCTTAGAAATATTTAATGACGAAAACAAAGTTGCTGGAAAAGCTCAGCAGGTCAAGTTCCTTTTCCAGCAACTTTGTTTTTGTTCTTGATTTACAGCATCTGCAGTTCTTTTGGTTTCTATTAAATATTTAATGACGCTGCCTGCACCGGTCTCTGGGGAAGAGAATTACAAAGCCTCATGATCCTCCGAGAGAAAAAAAATTCTTAACTCTGCCTTTGGGCAACCCTTCACTTTTACTGGTTCTCATCTCTTCCACAAGGGCAAACCTCCTCTCAGCATCTACCATCAAGTCTCCTCAGGATTTTACATGTTTCAAAAGATCACCTTTCATTCTTCTGAACATCAATGATACAGATGCAGTGTTGTCCAACCTTTAAGCTATCCTACCCCAGGTATCAGTCAAGTGAACCTTCTCTGAACTGCTCCAATACGTTTGATCACAACGTACCAAATGTCAGTTTCAAATTTGCCGTTTACTACTATCGACTCAAAGCCTCTTTATCCCATTTATATTTGAATAGTGTTGCCCTCTCTTTCCTCATTCTCTTGCTCAACAGTTCTGTCCTATAAAAGGGATTCGGCCCATCATTCGGATTTCTTGATAGAGACAAACTGTTATAGCTGCTGAATTGGTGGAATATTCTCCGATTTAAAGAGATTGTGCAGAAAATCAGGAAATGTTCATTTTTAATTTAACATGGCTGTTCCTTTTCAGTCTTTTTTCTTAGAAAGTGGCTTTTGCATTGCTCAGTCACTGATTCATGTGTTGAGCTATAGGCTCAATGCCATATTATCCTTTTCCTTCTTAATGAGCTTTGTCAATCCTGCTGTCACTGTGTTTTTAAAGAGTCTTAGGCAAATAGCAACTGTACACCCATTTACTGAAGATGACATTATTTAATCTGTACGCTAGACCCTGAGACACTTGACTCTGGGCAGTCTGTGTTAGACAGCAGTGACCTTGAGAGGTTATTGTTGAATGTTCTGACAGAAACAGAGATTGTGAGAAGTCGTTGAAAATTGTTCACACGCTTGTTCTATTAAAACAGCATCAAATCCATTAACAATCTTCCTTTTTATTGTCCTAAAAAGTGGTAATTGTGTTAAAGAATATGGACAAATGGAGAAAAAATTGGGGAGGGGACAATGAGAAAGTCACTGATTGAAATTATTAACTTTTGACACTGCTCCAAACAGAACAAAATACTTCTCCCTGGAGCCAGATTTAATTTAATTGTATAGTCGACTGTAAGCACACCCAAATCCTGATAACATGTATTAACTATCATGCCAAAAATAGCTTTTATTGAGATCAAGATTTCTAAAAATATCTACTGCTGCATCTCTGTTACCTTGGCCCAATTAATTCCATTTAAACTTCAGCAGAAATAACAACACTGTAGAGAAAGAAGTTAGACTCGTAATAATGACACTGTTGTCTATTGATGGAATTTGTCAGTGTCCATGTCTACTACAAACATAATATGGATCACTACAAAATGAGTATGGATGGAAATGGAATTTTATAAATAGAGCATATGTCAGGGATTTAGCATATTCTGATTCTATGGAGTGAGAATGAATGGTTTGATCTATTAGAATTTTAAACCTGTATCCTTTTTCTGGTGTTAGCCAGCATGCATGGAGACTTAAACCAGTAGGCATCCAGACCTTGGGATTATACACCAAGTGTGAGCCAGAATCTATTGAGAGATTCCTCCATGCTGGGGTATGTTTCCAAAGGTATGGGCTCCCTGCTGGTGATAGCTGCCTACCAGTGAATGCTTACTGGATTATAACAAATGATTGCGTGGAGCAACACTTACAGAACTTTCACTCTCCTCAAAACCCCCTGCCCTCAAAGGTACAAGTGCTCTGCATGCAAGAGGGATCAATTTGAAATTTACTCCGTACACATGAATGAAAATCTGTTTAGATTGTTGGGACAACAGGATTATTGGAAGTGTATTTTTAGATGCAAACTGTCAGTTACATTTCCTGTCCTAATGACCCTTACCCCTACAGCCTACAGACAGACATATGCTCACACAAAGTTAGAAAGATACAGATGATGACAGAGTCAGACAGAGAGAGACAGGCGACACACAAAGACATAAAAGAAAGACAGGGCTTCACCTCCTGAAATACTACATTCAGTAGACAATAAAAATTCCAACTGCTTCCTACCAGTCATCCTAAGACCTTTTGATCAACTTTATTTTTCAAATACACATGCATACATTTCTAGATATTGCCCAGATTAGGAGAATGCTGCCTGCATCTCAGGGCCTGGCAGAATTGCCCATGACAGCTGTTGTTCTGCTTAGTCTATTGACCGATAATGGACTGCATCAAAGCTCTTTACAACAGCTCAAGAGGCCACACGCCTCAGAGGGAGACAGCTATTTTTGGAAAGTACACATCTTTGAGGGCAGAGGCCAGGAGGAAACATTAAAGAACGAAAGAAAGCAAGACTCATATCTTTTCTCTTTTAAACGGTATTATGGTCATACTTCAATTACATTCAGAGCCACAAAAGGACTTGGCACCAAATTCATTTTTATCATTTGACTGGCTGTGTATCATTCAGACTGATAACTAGGAGAACGGGACAGGTGACTGCCTAAACTCCAGACAATATAAATGTGAAAAATGAAGGATGCAAAATAATTTTGATGTCAAGGTGGTTGAACAATGGGGAATATAAGAGACACTGGAGAAATCTTGAAAAACATTTTAAACTGACAGAATCAAAAAATCTCCAAAGCTGGGACATGCTGAAGGACAAATGACAAAACCAGCATGTACCCTGAGAATTGCCACAGCCTTTTCATAAATAAGTCTGTAACTACTGTCTGTGAGGCACTGTTGTGATATTGCACAAAACAGTTGCTGCACCTACTTCAGAAAGTAATTCCCTGTATAAAATACCTCAAACGGTTTATACGTGATATGGCACTATATAAATGAATGCATTTCTGCTGTTGAGGATCAAAAGAATGACAAAAGAAAAGACTCGAATACTTGGTACTGCACTCCTGCTTAAGTCATGTGGCAAGATTAATAATCAATATTTCGAGATGGGCCCATTGGGAGTTTTCTGATAGTTTGATGTAGTTAAAAGTTTTTCCAACCTTTATGACAAATATACCAGATCCTGTATCAATATGCTTTTAACATTGCAGAATAATGGGTACAGTCCTAAACCAACAAATTGTTTTAGGGGCCTTCTCTGTTGTTTTCACTGGGGCTCATTTTTAGAGGAAAGCAGGCTCTGCATGTAATTTGGTTACACCAACTCTTGGAGCAGCGAGACTGAGACTGGGTGCTCATGATTGGAATGTGCTCTATCCTCAGTATCAACATCCAATCTTTAAAAATACAATCAATAATAACAATTCCTAGATTCCAGTTTAGTGAATGTGACATACTATTCATTCAATTTCTGTTCTCTTCTATTTTCATCCCCTATTCCTGCAGTCAATTTCTAAAAGCACTTATCTTTACTGGACCTGCTACACTTCACTCATTAGTTATGGCTGATTAAAGAGTCAGACACGCTTGAAATGGACTGTGTGCATTGAAATGTTGAAAGGGTTTTATGAATGAAGTTTACATCATGTTATTATTATGATATGGTCATAAAACTTTCATGACAGCTTGTAGTCATCAAATATTCATCCTGGTAATGGTTCAGGCATCAGTTCTTGACCAAAAGGTCCTGGACAGTTCGGCAAATGCAAGTGACAGCTTCTGGTGTTTGTGCAGCCAAATTTACAAATAAATAGTTGCAGCACTTTAAATTTTTAGATACAACTAAGAATTTTGAAACTCCCCCAATTATATTTTGTTAGGTTTTTTGATCTTCTAAATGAGATAGATGAGCAGCAAGCAATGAGTAAGTAAGCTACAGCTCTTAACAAAAAGGAGATGCCATAGAGTTTTATGAGATATTTAACAGCTTCGAGAATGTGAACCGTGAGCAATGCTTGGATAAGCCCAGACAGAGGGACAGCAGATCAAAATTTAGAACAGGTTTCAAAATGTATTTATTTATACGGAAGGTGATCAACAGTTGGAACCAGTTTGCCAGAAAGGGTGCATTGAAGAGAAGCCACCAAACAATGGATGGCGCTTGAAAGGAGATTTTGATTTTCTTGAGTGCAGTGAAAACAGGCATTTCTCACCCCTACTCACCTTGTGATGAAAGGAGGAATTACTTGTAAATACCACGGAGGTTATTTTTGAAGGTTAAAAACAATGTCAGCGTAAATATCCAGTGCCATAAAGGGGCTTCCAATATAATTTATATACAAGCCACGTGCACCCCTCAATTTGATTTCACATTGCACTCATTTACTACCAGGTACCGTATGGACTACAAAAAAGCAGCTCGTCACATCTTTCCCAAGGCCTATTAGGGATGGGCAGTAAATGTCAGCCTACATCCCATGAATGATTATATATTATAAAAAACGTGGCACGTAAAGTAGCTGAATCTTAAGATTAGGTTTCAGTCTCTAACCCATTTGCAGATTTCTTTCTTCATGGGCCAAAATACCAAGTCATCAAATGTCAAAATGTTCACAGATGCAAAGTTCAGAGTTTGAAAGAAGTGACTGTATAAATGCAAGAGGTTTCCTTCATTATTCTGTGCGCAGCACACCTGAAGTTACCCAACTTGGTGAAAATGGTTCTACAAGCTCTACAAATCTTTTATTTTTAAAGAAGAAAATCTATATTTCTTTTCACATGCAGAGTCAAGTTTCAGAATACTTTACAGAACAAAAGACAGCAAAGGGAAAGTGGAATGAAAGTGCGGTAAAAGGAAGAGTCTTGAAGGGGATCTTGAGGGACAAAAGATCCTGAGGAGATAAAGCTTTGGAGGTAACTGCAAGGTCTGGCAAGCAAGGTGTTTAACGAGAAAAGGCTACTAATCAAGCAGAAGAGGCAGAAAACAAGATTTGGGCTGGTATATAGTGGTCACGTGGGGCAATAGGGTCAAAGGCAGGGGAGGGTGTGGAAATGAGATGAGGCAGAGATTCTAGAGTGAATAGGTAAAAGCAACAATGAAACATTGCCAGGGTCTATGTGATGTATTGACATATTTCAAAACACAACTGCCCCTCAGGTTAAACTGTAGAAAGAGATGAGGGCAATTCTTACCATTGGCATCCTGAACACCGGTCAGTGCTCCTACAGCAGCAGCAGTCTCTCCTGACAGCACAATCTGCCCTCCGCCCTGCAAGGTGGCTTCTGCAAGTGTGGCAACAGCATGGGCAGCAGCCTCACTGCAGCAGAGAGACATAAAACAGATTAGTCACCCTTGTATCAGAGATAGCAGGCACCTTGTTATCTCAGATTAGTCACCCTACAGACTTTGGAAAAGTACTGCACAGAAGGCAACCATTTGGCCTTTTGTGCATTTGCTAGTTCTTTCAAAGAGCTAAACAATTACTTTGATTATTGTCCATCCTAAACCACCTCTGATCCCGATTGTTTGCCCATGGCCCCATAAATATTCTTCCATCACACATTTATCCAAATCCACTTTGGAAGTGAGTAACAAATCTGCTTCCACCACTCTATTAGGGAGTGTCATCGGATTATTTTTAAGAAAACTGTCTTAACTTCCCAGGTTCTTTTGCCAATCATTTTAAAAGCAGTCAATTTTACTTCCCGTCATCAATGGAAGCTGTTCCTCCCTATGTACTCTATCAAAACACCCCAATTTCAAAGACCTATATTAAATCTCTTAAAATTCTCTCCTCTAAGAATAATTGTTTTCCTGGTCTGTCCACGTCGATTAAAAATGCACTTATATATAAACAGATATACAGGTCCCAAAAGACCAGGTACAAAACATTTTAAGGTAAGAAATTTCCCATTGCAAAATCATAACATGGGTTTAGATCAGTACGGCCATTTGCTGATTTGATCTCAACTTTCATTGGAAACGCACATCATTTTCTTTCTAATGCCACCTAACATTCACTCAACTTGGCAGAAGAGTCAGTCACAAAACAATACAGATTTTTGAAGAGTATCTTCTTTTATACTGCCTTGATCCCATGCACAGGTCCTGAAATGGGCTCGGATCATGAGTCGTCTGGCTTGAGGCACAAGTGTTAGCAAATCAGCCAAACTAACAGTTTTTTTTCCCCCTCTCTTGAAGAAGCAAATTTGCCATTTGTCTGCGTATGCTATCAGCTGTTGCTACATCTTGCTGCTCAAACAGCCATGTGAAACATGCAACTGCACTCCTTACAGCATTTACAGCAATGATCAGAAATGAACTTCATAACCGTCTTCCAAAATAGAACCGGAACAGTAAAAACCCTAATGACATCAACTCATTCACAAACCAATGAGCCCTTTCATGATTCATTCCAACAGCAACAAGATTTCACTCTGTCCAGAAGGTAGATTGGGCAATAGTTTTTAAATTGTCTTCTTTCCTTAGTTGAGACCACAATAATCCAGAGGGTAATTAGAAAGGACTGGGACCAAGTTTCCTGTAGCTGGTGTGTTGCTCCACTTCATTTCTGGGTTCTGATTCACAGCTTGCCAGCTCTGAAACTTTACAGTTCAGGTTCAGTTGAGAAAAAAAGGAAGTATACAGGAAAGTATGCAGAGGGGATGGGGAGTGTGAAGGTGGGTAAAGTATCCTGGTTTAAAAAGTACAAAATAAAATTGCTGCCTGGTGCATAGTTTGAGGGCAGTCCTCCATTACATCATCACTTGAGCTCAGGGCCCTTGATAAACTCTTTTAATGTAGCACATTAAAATTAGTAGTTACTGTAACTGAACAGAAAAATAACGTTAACACTCATCACATTATACACTGCATACAACGCTATCTAGTTCCAGGTCAATCTGCTCATTCTGATCTAGCAGAACACTGCTTGGAAAATACCAATCACTACCTCCCCCTGCTGGACCTTGTGCAGCACTACCACTAATTAAGACTTTTTTAAAATGGCTGCACAATTTCTCAAAGTATGGGGGGGCAGGAGATAAAACTCTGTGAAACTTAATTGACAGCTTCTGAAATCAATGCAGAACCTGTACAATTTATTGACAAACATCGCAAAGTGGTCGAAACTTCTCTACCACGAAGTAGAACCATATCCAAGAGACCAATATTCAGGATATGAGCCTTGATAGCAAGGGATGATAGTGGCCATTTGAGTGTGAATGGCATGATCACAGAACCTTATCACGTCTTCGTCTTTAAACTCACAAAATGTTCCTCCAGCAGGGCTCAATGGAAAAGGATCAGAAGGAAGAATGCTGGCAGAACTCCTCCAACTCAGTCAGGGCTGCTGTTTCTAACCACAGCAGCTTTAATCCACCTTGGGGAAAAGATATTGATGAAGGAATGAGGGAAAGAGAATCATCAAATCTGTGGTAAGCAGCGAAATGGCGTTGTATCAAACATGCATTGCTCTCGCTCAGTCTCAAAACTTCCAGGACAACAAATTGGAGTTTCCATTGTAAACTGCAGAATAGTGTAAAAACAAAGAAAACCAGATAGCTTACAAGGCCTTCTGCAAAAGCCCTGCACTACCTGCAAGGATATTTATGGATATATCTGATCTGAAATCTTATGAATCTAATCAAGGGCAGGCAACCAGCCCAGAGTTCCACCTGACACCATGGAAATGTATATTTCTTATAGTAAGGGAATGTGCTAAAGCTGAAGGAGAAAAGTTGCTGAAAAATGCACAAGTCTGTGACTCATTTAACAGAAGCTGCAAGACTTAATTTTGTGCCCAAGGGCAATCTGGTAGGAAACTCAAAAAGCAGTTGTGTTTGTACTGCTTGTTGAATATTAGTTCATTCAATTGGTGCCTCCAAAGGGGTCTAAAATCCCTTCTCCATTTGTATTCTGTCGATGAGCAAGAAATTACTACTCAATATTGATTTATGCTCTCAGAATGTGGGAACAGATAAGACAAGACACAGTTAATGCCAAGGTTTCAAATTTTTTTTGTTGGTTTTTAAGGTTGGAATTTTTATTTTAAAAAATATTGATCCCAAATTCCTCTTTGAAAAATAATTCTGCATTTTCTTCCTCCATCTGCAATAAGCTGATCTCAGCCAATACAGAAATAAACAATATAACTGAAAATAACACTAGTGGTTAGGTTGGAAAGAAAATGTCCAGATGGAGGTCCAGTTACCTGCTGGAGTAAGTTAACCTGTGAGAGTTCAGTGAAGTCAGGTTCCCTATCTTCCCCACTAGTTTATGTGCCTAGTTGTCAAGAATAGTTAGATAGATTGAAATCCATGAACACAAACAGAGTAATAATTAAAATTACAAAGAATTTACAACACAGAAACAGTCGCAAAAGATGCACAACAGAGATTCTATTTCTTCTATTTTTAAGAGAAAAGAGCACCAAATTTAATTTTTATTCAAAGGGTGTAACTCTTAGCTCCATCTAATTCGAGTAAATCATTTTTTGGCACCATTGTCTCCACATTCATTTTATAATATGGACATCAGAAATGCTCACAAAAGTCCAAATGATGCCTGACCAAGCTTCTGTGCAAGGTCATTATATTTTCTTGATCAATATTATCCCTCTGGAAATAAACCTCAGTGCAGTGTTTACTTTCTTAAGGCTTTTTTTGGCTTTGTATCTGTACTCCCAGATCTCCTCCTCAACATCATTTAGCAGTCCTTTTCAAGGGACATGTGGCTGCCACGGTCTCCCTAATAAGTGTGCCACCACATACTTTTCTATACAGGTATTTCTCCCGTAATGCAATAGTTGCTTTCTTGTGTGACCTCGCACAATAGAAAATGGTGCTACAGAAAATTGCATTATATGGAAATCGCTAAACCTGTACAGCAGAAAGTTTGTGTTATACAAACAGCATCTGCTATTCATCAATCACGTTACAGCCAATTCACGTTAATGAAACACACGTTATAGCAGAACTACTTGTATTGAATTTGCTAATTACATGACCATTCTGCAAGTTTATTAATGTTGTTCTGTGTTTTGTCACCTCATCTGACTAAACATACTTCTCAGTTTTAAGTCATCAACAAATTTTGAAATTGTACCTGTACCTTCAATTCCAGAGTGCAAATAACTTATGTAAAATTGAAACAATACTGGTCTCAGCACCTAGCCTTATGGAATAACACAACTTCCCACCATTTGATGCTTTTTTGAGTATACAGAGGGATGGAGATTTGAGAGGAATTGACAAATAGCAGAAATGAGAAGTGGGACTTTTTTCCCCCCTCAAACAGGATATTTCTGCTTCACTTTAGAATGCAGGAACTTCCCCTCCAAACTATTCAAAGAACTCCCACCACTGCACTCCCTCAGAAGAACAAGGCTCTACTAACAGAAATTGGAAAATTTCTATTTACACTGAGAGCTTTTAATTTCTTTCCCAATTTTTAATATGCCTCTGACATTTTCTATATTGATTTTAACATTGCATTTATTGCTTAGAGGTAGAAGAATACATGAAGTGAGAAAAGACCATTCTGTTGTTAAGTTTACTTCTCCCAACCACTGTGTTCAATAAACAAGCGTATTCTGTACAAATATACTCTGATCACCAAAGCTACAGCACATATATCAGCATTATCACCACAACCGGAAATCCATGGTTAATTTTTTTTCCTGCACCTGCAACATAATAGTCCACTTGTCCCATTTTGAGTGTCTCAGTTGCATTGCCCATATGTTCAGACATTTCACTTGCCCCTTTGGTTTTGGAATCAACAGTGGGACAAGGGTCCTTGCTACATTTTGAAAACCTAATCCACTAAAATAGTTAGATAAAATTGTGTGCATATACCGTTCCCCCAAACCCATGTTACTTCAATCATGCCTCAGTTACCAGTTCCTAAAAAAAAACACACACTCAGCTGGTGTTGTTTCAAGTAATGAGTTTGGAACAACACAGATTATGTGAATAACATGTTGTGGCTCCTCTACAAACCACTGACTCACTAGCAGTTCACGTATCTTTGCTTTATGAAAAAATTCCAAAAGAAATTTACACTGGGCTTATTCAGCAATCCGTGCAGGATCCACAAGTTATTCTCTAATATCTCACCCAAATAGGTGTTTTCATGTGTCTACCTCCACACTTGCTGTCAGTTATTCAACAGGGCAGGAAGAGGGGAGCGTCACCATCAAATCAGATTATCATACATCCCACCTTGTGTTTGCTTTAGTTGGAATACTGCATAAGAATCGTGGGTGAGACACCCTGATCTGTTTCCTTTTCCTCACCTGTAGTTCAGTCGCAACCTCCAAGTCTAAAGCTTATGAAATCAAATCCCAAACCAGGCTGATGATAAAGTGCAATACTTGAGGAGCTGTACCAAGCTGGAGGTGTTATTGTTCAGATGAGACATTAATCCAATGCCCCACCTGTTCTCTAAGTTGGACATAAAAGATCACATGATACTCTGAAGAAGAACAGTTTTCCCTCATGTTGTGACCAACATTTATCTTCATCCAGCATCACTAAATCTGAATTTTTGCTCATTATCACCTTGCTGTTCATATGATCTTGCTGTACACAAACTGGCTGTCTCATTTCCTACATTACAAGAGAGACAACATTGTAAAAGTACTGTATTAGCTATAAAACATTTTGGGATGTCTCAAAGGCACTACGTAAATGCAAGTTCTTTCTTCTAATTTTACCTCTTTTTGTTCCACGGATGCTTTACCTAATTCAGCAAAGACCACAGACATTGTCCAGCAAGAAGTGAGAGGTTGCTGGAAAAGGATCTACAACCCTGGATAATTTCCAGCCTTTTCCAGCTCAGGGTCAAAAACCAAGTTCAAGACCCTCTCCGTCACTGTACTTTCTCAAGTTGAGATCAAATAACTCAACACAAATCAGGGATTTAAATCTTCAACTTGTCTGACCTGAGCCACTTCGAAAGATCTCTCAAGTGATTGCTGGCACAAATTTGTCTGCTAGTTTGACTCACTCCTAAACACTACCCTTACAGAGTTATCTTTGTTCCTTCATTAGGCACCATTCTCTTACTTCTAAAATCACACAACCTACTTCAGTCCTGGCATCAGATTGGCTAATTGGGTCTTGGTCAACACCACTTGATAGAATCTGAGCTGGCTAAAAGAGTCTGAAAGGGAATGCTTGCCTAACTTTCAATTTCTATCTCCACCCTCCACTTCTCTTTAAAACATATTTCACCATCCACTTCAACAACCAACACCCTGCTAAGATCAGCAGAAACAAGCTACACTGTCTGCACAGGATTGGACGTCCTAGCTCTGTGTAAAATCAGTGGGAGAGAATGATCTATATCCAACTAGTTGAAAAATTAAAATCCCGTGATCTCTGAAACATGAATGAAGTACACCAATATGAGCATCATTTTCAGTCGCAAGCTCCAAAAGTTGGATTTTAAAAATAAGTCTGAAAATATTATTTCACGGTCCAGCTGTTAGCACAGAACATTTTTCCTTCTTTTCGTGAGAATCAAGGGTGAACTTTTATGCGACATTCCTTCAGAGCCCTGTTAGCTGACACTCACCTGTTCAGTGCCATGGTAACGGTGGCCCCTTGCTGCATCTCCTGGGATGCAGCCACTGCAGCCTCTGCCAGAGAGGCCACGGCCTGGGTGGCTTCAGAGGCCTGAGTTGTCTGGATTGCCATTTCTCCACCTTGCAATGTGGCCCAGTTCTGCTCAACCTGTGCAAAGAAAATGTGGGCATTAGTAAGAAGGAAGCAAACAAAATGTGAAGAAATGAAGTCAGGTGTGTATATGTGCACAAGTGGTTTCGGGGTGGACAGTGGGGAGCCATATGCATATATTGCTCCAATCTTTCCTTTTTTAAATTAAAAACTTCAAAAAAAATGACCAAAGAAAAATTAATATCTCTCTGCTCCATCAAAGTACTTTAATTTGGATAATTTCCACAAATCACTGCCAGCAGGGAAGAAGGGGGCTGAGTATGGTTTCCTGCACTCAATCAAAACCACATTAGTTTCAGCCCCAGCTTAAATGAGCAGTGCAGTTCCGGAGCACATTGATACTGTGCTCAAATGATTTTGGAGGGAATCAAAGACAGAAGGTAAATTTTCAGATTAGGACCGTTCAAACAAAAATAAAATCTACACTTATCTTTAAGCAATTCTATTGCCAATTTCCATTTAGTTTCCAAAGGGTTAACATTACTTGAAGATAATCCTAGGTTACCTAGTGATTCGACTAGTTAAGACAACAATAGTAGGACCATACAGATCAGTAAGGATCCACATTCATCCAATGTCAGTGCCAAATTTGTTCAGCTATGATGCTACAACTGGCTTGAGGAGGGGAGGCAGGAGTTCCATGCTCAAACACTATCAAACAAATCCTGCCGACTGAAGAGGAATAAGCCCTAAAAATGGTGACATTCGTGCTCACTTGTCAAGTGCTTGGGTTTACACATGAATGTTGTATCATTTGGCAGAATCCAACAGCTGAAAACTGACAAAAAAGGGAGGGAAAATTAACAATTATTTTCCTGAAAGGTAAGGAGACTGTAGTACAGTAACCTTAGCCTATCGTTTTTAAAATTGCAGTCCGATATTAAGAACTGGAAACGTAATTTAAATATCCTGAATATTTACAGATTTTTGCAAGGCTTTGATCAACAAACTAGGTCTTGCGCAGCTAATTTCTCAAGGCATAATCTGTCAGATGTATAACGTTCATCCTACAAACAACAAATTACGTTTATTAACCACCTTTAACAGTGTAAAAATCCAAAGGCACTTCACAGGAGTGAATAACAAACAAAAATCAGATTCTGAGCCACAAAGATACCAGAATCAAGACAGTAGCCAACAGGTAGGTTTTAAGGAATGCCTTAAAAGTGAGCGAGAGAGAGCGATGGAGAGAAAAGGAGATTTGAAGAGGAAATTCTTGATCATGGAACCTCAGCAGATGAAGGCACAGCTGTCAATGGTAGAGAACAAAATCATGACTGTAGAAGAGGCCAAAAGTCAGTGAGAGCAGGTAGTTCAGAAGACTGAAGAGCTGAAGAGGTTTACAGAGATAGGAATGGACAAGACTATGCAGAGATTTGAAAACAAAGATGAGAATTTTAAAATGAAGATACTGCAAGATCAAGAGTCAATCAGCCATTGTAGGATGGTAGGTCATTATCCATCATCGTTATCTGATGACATGATGTGAAATAAAAACAGAAAATGCTTTCCAGAGATGCTGCAAGACCTGTTGAGTTCTCCAGCACTTTCTGTTTGAATTTCAGAATTCCAGCATCTACAGTATATTGTTTTCATTAAAAACATGATACAAGTTGGGCTATGGAAGTAGACACCCAGGTAGAAAGAAAATACAGTTTCAAAATTCATTTTAAGTGGCTCTACAAAACTGCTGTAACCTATTTCTCACTGTGCTGCCCTACTGTGCACATTTCCCACATTCGGCAAGTAAATCATATGGAGGGCTAGGCAATACTTAAGATGTTGCACAATAAGTTTGATCTGTGCTGAGTGTGGGCAACTATACATTTTCTGACATGAATTCTCCTCTTACATGTAATTTTCCATTAACTGCTCTCCTGGATAAAAAAACACCTTGTAATTTTCATAGACTGTCAAATTGACCTTCTCTCCTTGGCATCTTGTTTTTCTCCTTTTCTCTGAATTATCTATGCTTTAAACATGCTACCGACCCCCTCCTGTGCTGCAGTCAAGAATTATGATACTGCTTTGCAGAACTTCTTAGTTTCATCAGTCATCTTTCATGTACTTTAATCTCCAGGTTTCATCCAACCACTCCCCAAAACCTGGTATCATCTAAGTATCACTTGCCTGCTTTCTAACTTTCCAATCTCCATACAAACTAATGGGCATAGGTCCAGATCTACAGGAGTTTAAAATTGTGCCAAGGGCTAAACATTTACCAAGTTTGGACTCCATTACTCCAGTAATGTTTGTGGAGGCTGGTAGGATAATATTTGTAAAAGGAATGTCCTACTACATTTCCATTGGAACGAGACGAAGTAGAAGAGGGCAAGGTTCTTCCCTATATGACAGAACGACAAGAAACTCCCAAAATTCAACCATTTTCCAGTTGGTGAAATTTTACTGCTCACAGTGTAATATGTCTGTGGTTCAGAAATGCCACAGCGACAAAAGGACAATTCAATACACAACGTGACATGCAGCCACCAAATATACAGAGTGACTCTCAAAACTGCCCAATAAAAGGACCAAGTGATGCATAGTGTAAGCACCATGTGATCTGTTTAATGGACAGATCAAGTCATAGACCAAGGGAGTGAAGCACAAGCAGCACAAAAGATCAACAATATGATCTGTCTTTTCAGACATTGCAAATGAAACAAGATACAATTAAACCACTGCCAAATATCATAAAACTATTGGGATTAAGATTCTAAGGCAAATTAAATTTTTAATACAGGTAGATCAAGAAAACATGTGTTACATTGGTACATTTTAACTTTTTGCCAATTAGTTTATAAACTAAGTTACCTTGGTATTTTCCTAAAAGAAGATATTTTAATCCATTATTTCCTCTGTGTCTCTGATGCTTAGAGACAGGGAACTGTGGAGGGGCAAAATGATTTAGCTATCCATATATATAAATTGTGAAAGACTAATGCACAGGTACAAAAAGTAAATAAAAGGCAAATGGAATGCTGAACTTTATCTCATGAGCACTGGAACACAAAGTTGAAGTGAAAATCCAATTGCACTGAGGCATATCTAGACCACATCCGGAGAACAACATGCAGATTGGGCACCCAACTCTGAAGAGGTACAACAGCATGGAGTCGGTACACCAGAGCTTAAATCATACAGGATTAAATTATGAAGTCAAGTTAAGTACATTTTGGTTATCCTCCCTGGAGCTTAGAAGGCTAAGGCAGGATCTAATTAAGATATTTGCAATGATAAAAAAAATTGGTAGAGCAGGTACTGTGAAACTATTTTCTCTGTTAGGGCATCAAGAAAAGAGGAAGCATTTTCCCCACACAAAATGCTGCAAAATCTACAGTTTCTTGTTGGATGAAGGGATTAAAGGACACAGATTAAAGGCAGGTGAATGGAAACAAGGTATAAAGCAGAATAGGTTCACAAGGCTGAATAGACTCCCTTTCTTCCTATGCCACGCCTTCCCATCATCTCAATTTTCTTGCTCCATAACTACTTCTTTCAACCAGGTGGAAAGGATCATCCAGACCATTGCTACCTGATGTTATGATTGGATGCCAGTGCTGAGTCATGCTCAGTGGGAGTTAGGATAGAGCCCCACCTCCATGAACGTACGTGTGACTGCTGCCCTCACCTCTCCGTCCTGAACAGTGGAGTAATTCACCTGAGCAACAGTTACCGTTCCTGGGAGTTCAGACGCATCTGCCAGAGTCGCAACTGTTGCACCCGTGCCAACCTGCAAACAAGGGCAGACATGAAAGAACAGCGCTTTAATCTGCAGCAGGGCACCTTCATTACCCACTCAGCTCTGTCCCAAGATTATCCCTTGTTTGAAATCAAAATAAATCAGGGTCACAGCTCCACCTGATGATTTGCTGAGAAAATAGAATAGAACCAGAAAGGTTCAAGTTTCCATCTTTGGTCTGAACTGGGTGGGGGTGTGAGGGATTCTTTACATAATTGGTGTCTCTGCTTGGAAAAAGGACAAAGTTCATGATAAATATCCTACAACCTCTCCCCACTGGAAATGAATGTAAGGGGATGCCAGGCAAGTACAGGATCAGTGTTAAACATGATGTCTTCTATAATAGAAAGAATGATAGAAATAAAGACTTTCAATTATAAAGAACCTTTCATTACCTTAGAATATCCCAAGTTCTTTACAATAAATAGAGTATGGTATAAAGTGCAGACAATGTTATAATATAGAAAAGGTGACAGCTAATTTAAAAGCCACAGACAGCAATGAGACAAATGGCCTGCCCACCTCTACGAGATGCCAGCTGAGGGATAACTATTGGCTGAGATGAGAACGCTTATTCAAATCATGCTGTGAAGAATTTTCCATTGCTTGAAAAGACACATAGGGCCTCAGTTTAACATGTTATGACAGATAATGGTATCTCCAACAATGTAGCACCTCCTTCAGCTCTTCAGTGGAATGTCAGCCTGGATTACAGGCTCAAGTCTCAGAAGTAGAGAAAAATCCTTGGTTACTGCAAAAGCACTGAAGGATTGGAAAACTGCCAATGTGACACCCCTATTCAAAAAGAGAGGTAGGGAGGCAAAAAGTAGGTAACTACAAACTGATTCACAAACATCTATTCTTGTAATCAATTATTAAGGAAGTAATAGCAGCGCATTTGGAAAATCATAATTTAATCAAGTAGAGTCAGCATGGCTTCCTGAAAGGGAAATAGTGACTGACTACTCAACCAGAATGGATAGAGGGGAACCAGTGGATTTGTAGTATTTAGATTTCCAGCAAGCATTTGAGAAGGTAACCTCACAAAAGGTTAAGTTATAAGAGCCCATGGTGTTGGAGGTAGTATATTTGCATAGATAGAGAATTGCCCATGGGGTTCATTTTCAGGTTGGCAAGCTGTAACCAGTGGGATTCCACAGGGATTACTGCTGAAATTGCAACAGTTTACAATATATATAAATGACTTGGAGGAAGTAAGCAAATGTACTGTATCCAACTTTGCATTTGACACAAAAATAGCTGGACAGGCAAGTTGCAAGAGGCATCAAAGTTTACTGAGACCTATTGAGAGGTTAAATAAGTGGGCATAAAGTTAGCAAGTAATGTATAATGTAGGAAAATATGCAGTTGTCCATTTTGCAAGGGACAACAAAGAACAGAATATTATTTTAATTGAGAAAAACTGCAGAAAGCTGTAACACAAAGGGACTTGAGGGTACTTGTACATAAAACACTAAGCTAGCACACAGGTAGAGCAGGTAATCAGGAAGACTAATGGAATGATGATGCTGATTTCAAGGGAGTTGGAGTATAAGAATAGGGAAGTCTTACTGCAATTATACAAGGTGCTGGTGGGACCATACCTAGAGTACTGAGAGCAGATTTAGTTCCCTTATTTAAGGAGATAGAGTCATAGAGTTGTACAGCACAGAAACAGGCCCTTCCGTCCAACTTGTCCATGCCGACCAGATATCCTAAATTAATCTAGTCCCAATTGTCAGCATTTGGTCCATATCCATCTAAACCCTTCCTATTCATGTCCCCACCCAGATGCCCTTTAAATGTTGTAATTGTACCAGCCTCCACCACTTCCTCTGGCAGCTCATTCCATATATGCACCACACTCTGCATGAAAAAAAGATTCCCCTTGGATCCCTTCTAAAGCTTGCCCCTCTCACCTTAAACCTACGTCCCCTAGTTTTGGATTCCCCTATTCGGGGAAAAAGACATTGGCTATTCACCCTATCAATGCCCCTCATGATTTTATAAACTTCTATAAAGTCACCCCTTCGCCTCCGATGCTCCAGGGAAAATAGCCCCATCCTATTCAGCCTCTCCCTATAGCTCAAATACTCCAAATCTGGCAACATCCTTGTAAGTCTTTTCTGAACCTTTTCAAATTTCACAACATCCTTCCTACAGCAGGGAGATCAGAATTGAACGCAGTACTCCAAAAGTGGCCTAACCAATGTCCCGTACAGCCGCAACATAATCTCCCAACTCCTATACTCAATGCACTGAACAATAAAGGCAAGTGTACCAAATACCTTCTTCACCATACTGTCTACCTGTGACTCCACTTGCAAGGAACTATGAACCTGCATCCATGGTCTCTGTTTCATTGGAGGCATTCAGAGAAGGTTCACTAGATGATCCCCAGTATGAAGCAAAGGCCAGCAGGTAAGGACGCTACTCACTGCAGTTTAGAAGAATGAGAGGTGGTTCCATTGAAACGTACAGGATTTTTAAGGGGCTTGACAGTGTAAATGCTTAAAGGATGTTTTGCCTCATGGGGGAGTCTAGGATCAGAGGGCATAGTGTCAGAATAAAGAGGTGTCAATCTAAGACTGGGGCAGGAGGAATTTCTTCTCTCAGAGAGTTGAGAGCTTTTTGAACTCTTTGCCACAGAGAATTGTAAGGCAGAGCCCTTGCATATATTTAAGGCTGAGATAGATTCTTGATCAGTTGTTGAATCAAGGGTTAAGGGGAAAAGGCTGGAAAGTGGACATGTGGAATGTGAGATCAGCCATGATCCTACTGAATGGCAGAACAGGCTTGAGGAGTCGAATAGCCTACTCCTGTTCCTATTTCTTATGGTCTTAGGGAGTGGGGTTTGAACCTACAACTTCTGACTCCGGTAGTGCCACTGAGCTACAACTAACATATTTGACCAAAATATATTATATTGACTTTCAGGAAATGATTCACACGAGGATTTGGCTGTTGTGGTTGGTTGGCTTGCCGAGCTGGTTCATTGTTTTTTCTGCTGACGTTTCATTACCCTGCTGGGCAACATCATCAGTGCAGCCTCCAATGAAGCGCTGTTGTGTTTTCCTGCCTCTTATTTGAACTCTGGAGTCCACTGAGCTGGATTACCTCACTTCCAGTTTTCCTTCACAACGGAGTGTATATGGGGTCGAGTTCTATGTGTTTGTTGATGGCTTTCTTCGTGGGGTACCAGGATTCTAGGAACTCCCGTGCTTGTTTCTGCTTTGCTTGTCCCAGGATCTTGGTGATGTCCCAGTCGAATTGGTGGTTCTCCTTATCCATGTGGATAGAGATGAGTGAGTATTGGTCGTGTCTTTTTGCAGCCAAATGATGTTCGTGTATCCTTGTTGTTTATTTCCTTCCTGTTTGTCCGATGTAGTGTTTGTCACAGTCTCTGCAGGGAATCTTGTATATGACATTGGTCCTGTCCATAGTGGGTAGTGGGTCTTTGGTTCGGGTGAGCAGTTGTCGTAGGGTTGATGTGGGTTTGTGCGCTATTCTGATGCCCAGTGGTTGTAGGAGTCTTGTGGTCAGTTCAGATGTGTTCCTGATGTAAGGTAGTGTGATGAGTGTGTCGGGGTGTGTAGTATCTTCCTGGTGTCGTTGGTGTAATAGGCATCTTCTGACCCAGTTTTTCGGGTATCCATTGTCTCTGAATACCTGGAAGAGGTGCTCTTCTTCTTCTCCTCGGCGTTGCACAAATGAAGTTGTGTGAGAACATTATTTAAATGGGCAACAACACACTGCAACAGCACAGAGCTACGCCGAGGAGAAGCGTTCTTCCAGAGTCCAATTAAAGGCGGGAAAACACAACAGTGCTTCATCGGAGGCTGCACCAATGATGTTACCCAGCAGGGTAATGAAACGTCTGCGGAAAAACAATGAACCAGCTCGGCGAGCCAACCAACCACGACATCCACAACCCGAGCTACAAATCTACTCTAAAATCTTAGAGGATTTGGCTGCTCGAGTAGGGTCTGCAAAGCTGCCTCCTAAAAATCACTACCTGCAAGTGAACTGTACAGAAAAATGAAAGGGATTGCATGTTGCAATATTTAAAGAAAATACTTTCCCTGGAAGTATGAGATATGCATCTCAAGCTAGTTCAAATCAAATCATAGGGAATGATTCGGAGTGTACCAACTGCTGATCCAAACCACAATTGATCTCGTTTCCCTTGCTCCCCCATAACAGCTAATCCCATCATTCATTATGTTGCAACACAGCCCAAAATATTGGTCAATCATGACTCACTAAAAATGCAAGTGAGTTCTTGGAGACAATTGGCATTGATATAGCACCCTTAAAGTAAAACATCCCAAGGCACTACACATTACCATTTTTTAAATTCATTCATGGCATGTAGGTGTCACTGGTGAGGCCAGCATTTATTGCCCATGAGAAAGTGGTGGTGGGCTGCCTTCTTGAAATGCTGGAGTCCATGTGATGCACACCCACCCACAGGGCTGTTAGGGAGAGTTCCAGGATTTTGAGCTCGTGATGGTGAAGGAACGACAATATAGCTCCAAATCAGGATGGTGTGGATCTTGGAGGCGAACTTGCAAATATCAGATTAAAACTGACTGAATCAAAAGAGAAGCAACTAAGCCAGAAGACTGAAAGGTCTGTTAAAGGGGTAGATTTTAAAGTGCATTTTAAAAGAAAAAAATAAATCCATATATAAAGTGCTTTCCACATTCACCAGAAATCTTAAAACATTTTATAGCCAATGAAATATATTTAAAATGTAGATAACTGTTGTAAGGTAGGAAATGCAGTAGTCAATTTGTGCATGGAAAGTTTCGACAAACAGCAATGAGATTATAACCAGATAATCCGTTTTGGTGATACAGATTGAAGGATGTACATTGGTGAGGACACCAGCAAAAACTCTCCACCTGATTTTTCAAATAGTGCCAAGGGATCTTTTACATTCACCATGTGCCCTCAATGTAATGCCTCATCTGAAAGATAGCAACAGATAGATTCCAACAGCAACAGCATTCCATTAGGACGGTGAAGTACTGTCAGCCTTGAATATTGTTCTAGAGTTATGCTGTGGTACATGAATCCAGCATTTTGTGATTCAGAGCGATGAAAGTGTTATCAACATAGCCATGGCTTAGAAGTGAGGAAGAGGGAGCTGGGGGTGCGGAAAAGAGGGGAGAGGGAGAGAGAGATGGAGTGGTTTTAAGACAAGGGATTTCACTTTGTAAGGCTTAGATGGCTGAAGGCATGTTAGGGTGAAGGATCTGGGAATAAGAACTTGGAAATGGAGTTAGCAGGATACAGAGTTTTTCTAAGGTTGAGGGAAGATTACAGTGTTATGGAAAGTTGAGGCATGGAGTGATTTGAACACATTGCAGAGCAGCCAGCACAGGAGATGATCAGTATCATAGCAAGGTAAGGATTTAAGAATGATGTGCAATATGATCATGGAGAGGGTATCAAGCAAATTAAGGAAAGAAATAAGAGAAAGATGTGATTGGAAATAAAAATCTCTGAAATCACCTGTATGAGAGAGACTGTGCCATCGGGATTACTGATTGTCTGCACCACTGTCTGAGAGGGGACAAGATGGGCGATGTGAGTCTGTGGCTGTGACTGCTGATCTTCAAACGCATACAATAGGTCCTCTCTGCCATGCTGCTTGTAACAGTTCTTAACAATTGTCCTCAGTGCCTGTGTCCAGGAAACCTACAGGAGAAAAATTAACCTTTCAAATATGGTCATGTAAAATATCATCTCAAATTTTCTGTGTTTGTCTTTCCCCACCCCAAAAGGCATTAACTCTTTGCAGCAGGAGTCATTAGACAGCATCCTGAAGCAGACTAATCCACATACAATATATCGCACAGAAATATTTGGTCAGACTATTCTTTGTTAGTATTTATGACCCACACAAGCTTCCTCTCATTTCTCTTCATCTAACTCTATTAGCATGAATGTCTATTCCTGTCTCCCTCATACCTTTTCAACCGTCACTTAAATGCATCAATGTTATTGCATTAACTATGCCTTGTGGTGGCATGTTCCTCATTTTAAGATATAATTGGCAAATGAACTTCAATATAGATAAACTTGAAGCAATGTATTGTACAGGAAGAATAAGGAGACTCTACTCTTTCAAAAGTAAATGTGTAAATGGAGTGGACAATTAAAAGCATTTTGGGGTACAAATACACAATTACTAAAGACAATGACACAGAGTAAGGCGGCCATGAGAAACCAAAACAATTAAGGTGAAATTAAGTTCCTGGAGTGATTATAATGTGGACCTCACTAATACAGGGACTGAAAAGGCCAAATATTGCAGATGCTTTCATGAGAAATTGGATAAGCTTATGATAGGGTTACATGAAGAGGGGTGGAAGAGAGGCTCGTGTGGAGCAAAACCTCTGGCATGAATCTGATGTGCCAGGTGGTCTATATCAGGCTGTAAATAATTTGGAATTTCTCGATCAGAAAAGTTTTTTTCTCTTGAATTCCATTTTGAATTTATTGGTGGCTATCTTATAGTGAAAAAGTCTTTGTCTGTAACGTGAGGGTACAAAAGTCTAACTCTTGTCTCTGACCAGTTCTTGCAGCTACAGTAACTGGTCCATTTAGGTTTCTGGTTAGTGGCAACCCGAAGTAATTTCTGGTGGGGTATTCAGTGATGATAATGGGATTAAACTAAAAAGGGCAAAATTTAGACTCTCCCTTGTTGGAGACAGACATAGTGTGACCCTAGTGTGGAGTGAATGTTTCTTATTTAACAACTCGAGCCTGAACATGGCCCAAGTCTTTCTGTCTGTGGGTTTGTTATTATCTTCATTATCTAACAATGGATAATCCTTCCCTCATTATTCATAGGAATTTACATTATCAGCCCTGAGGAAGAGAAAACATTATTCTGGAGCTTCTTCTCTTACAGACAATGTGAAGTCCATGTAATCTACCTTGGATTCTACTTATTAGAACACCTGCAATAAAGTTGTGCAAACAATTCTCGTCTATTTTCCCCATAAACATTCAAAACTCTGGAACATTAAATATTTTGCAGTTTTGAAGAACTACAATAGATTTAGGAGCTTCGTATAAAATACTTTCGCCAAGCTGTCACTACTCCTTGCTACCAAATGCTCAGTCCTGAAATGAAACACATAGGCTACAATGATTCATGATGATAAAAAATCTATACCATAAACAGTTATTGCAAAATTGTAAACTTCTGCTGTTCATTATCACCTTACAATCTGCCACAGTCAGCTTCAGGTCACAAGTTCCCACTGTCAAATATAATAAGGTCCCTTCAGTGCTTCTATACAGACCTACTTACCCGCTGTTTCTGTTCCTCTGACCGCACATCACTGCGAACATTGGCCCATGGAATGTCCTCAGGCCACCACACAGGGCGGCAGCTCTCCTTACCCCAACCAGGTTTCCCTCTCCCTGTTGAATACTTCAGCATCTCCGGAATAAAAGCACGGAGCTGAGCCTGGAGGAGACAAAGATGGAGAAGAATTGTCACCTGGTCAATTAGATCCCTGGATAAAAGCATCTGAGATTAAAGGTTAAGCGATATGTGGAATTCATGCAACCCTTTGTATTATATTCTATTAGCCATGAACTTGTTTGGTGTACCAGTAAAAGGTGTTAGTATTAGGAACCAGAATATATTCCACTTGTGGACAGATATGAATAATCTGCATGTCTAGCAGTATCTGTGGAGAGAAAGCAGATTTAACGTTTCGGATTCAGTGATCCTTCTGCAGTTCAGAAAAAGTGTGACTGGACCTAAAACAATAACTCTGCTTCCTCACCACAGATGCTGCCAGACCTGTCGAGTTTCTCCAGTAATTGCTGTTTTGTTACAGATTTCCAGCATCCGCATTTCTTCGGGTTTTTTGTGATATGAATAGTGATTTATTTGTGATGACAGATTAGTTCACACTAAATTAAATACAATTTTATCATCCAAAAAAGATGTTTTAAAAGAATGGTCTCCTCCATTAATAATATTCATTATTCTGTCATTCATACCTCCTCTGGACACATCTTTTATTTCTTTACTTAATGCACAACCACTGCCTTTGGTCCTGCACTACCAACTCTCTCCTATTTTCAATCTTTCACTCATCATCCCTTTTGTTCCTCTTTCAGTAACACCACTTCTGCCACCTTCACTTGCTTAAAATACTTTTCCTATTCTCAGTTTTGATGAAAGGTCATTGTCTTGAAATGTTAACTGCTTCTCTCTTCACAGATATTGTCTGTTTTTATTCCAGCATCAGCAGTATCTTTGTCACTGTGCCTGAACCATTGATTTATATAGATTAATTATATTCAGACCACAGTGAAACCCCAATTGAATTAGATTTAGATCATGTATGTGTAATCCAAATAGATTGTCCAAACACTGTTTCCATTTCTGCTAAGGAACTAAAACCTTGTGCCCCATAGTCCTGTTGTGGCATTAGTCTTATCATTTCCATTTTCTGCTACTCCCTTTCCATTTTCTTCCCCTTTGTCTCTTGGTGTTGCAATTATGAGATCTTTCTATATGTTAACTAAGAATGACAAGTTGTTAGAGGAGGGGAAAAGAAAAAAAACATTGGCCTGGACGCTTATAACCTGCACAAGGTGGCATGTTATTAACAGGGATCTCTTTTGAAAACCGGTTGATGCAATAGAATGAACTCTTTGGAATACCCTTGATGGCTCACCTAGAAAGACACAAATTAAACCCTTGTATATGCCTGTCTAAAAGATGTTAGTTAAGGGCAGGTAAATCATCACCTGGTATCTTTCCCAAATGTCATATTCACGTGAACATATTGTATAAGTGTAGGCAGGGTAATGCAGACTTTTACGAGGGTGCGAAAAGAGAGATATCATAGTGAAACCTGACCCGGCCCTTACTTAACATCCGTACAAAAACAATTCCAGTTGGCGATCAATGGACACTTATTGGGAACAGGTTCTCTCCTATTTCAACAAATCCTACCTCTGTGTGACTGAGACTATCAAATAAAGCATGACTGCAATATCAATTCTAGGCTTGCCCTCTATGGAACTGTAAAGGGGTGAGTTTGATGAGATTAGCAACAGGCCTTCCACGAGACCTCAGCTATTAACTTGCATCAGCTTACTCTACCTTAAAGGAAGGACCAGAAGGCCACTTTTTTCTCCACTTTATCAATTGCTATCCTTTAATTCAGTGTACAATCAGCGATCTGGGACTGTCACTGCATTACATCAGGTTCAGTGGCAAAAACCTCAGGTTCGGTATTTCTCACAAACCTGTGAGGTAATTATCCAGCCAAGCAGTTAGAAATGCTATATTTATATACATTACAGAAAATGCACACCCACATCTAGACAGTGGAAATCGTTCTGTGGTAAGTAAACAATGGCAAATGACTGACATTATGGGTTCAGAAAGGATCTGACCATTTTTGTTGCAAGCTGAAAAACACCCACGGGAGGAAGAAATCAACTTTTAGAGAGGAGCTGAAACAGAAGTGGAAGGAATGCAGATTTTTGAAGAACATAGTTGAGATCCCCAGAGGTTCTCCAGATTTCTTCATTTAATAGCCAAGACACAGAGACCAGAAAAGTACTAAGTTGCCAAATCTAGGTCCTGAACCAGCCTCAGTAAATTGGTTCATGTCCAATTTTTCTTAAAGTGCCCTGACACCAATGAAGGGAAACATCATTCTTATCTATCTGGTCCAGGTGGTTGACTCTTACCATGCCATTCAGTTGTTTAAAAGTAATTACTCAAAGCCAACAGAGAAACACCAATCTCTTGGGGCAATTTATGATAACATTAATGTAGCCTTGTTAACATCATACACAACTCAATAAAAACACAAAAAAAAGAGTAAAACTGGTGAGAACACTCTGGCAATTAATATTTCATTACGTATCAATTTCATTGGAATATATAAACAGGAATAGGCTATTCAGCCCCTCAAGCCTGTTCCACCATTCAAGAGATCATGGCTGATCTGTGGCCTAACTCCATATACCTGCCTTTTACCCATATCTCTTAATAGCTTTGCTTAACAAAAAATCTCACGTTTAAAAATTAACAATTGATCCAGTACCCACAGCCATTTGTGGAAGAGAATTCCAAACATTTACCAGGCTTTGTGTAAAAGTGCTTCATAACATCTCTCCTGAATGGTCTAGCCCTAATTCTTAGACTATGCTCCCTAGTTCTAAAATCCCCAATCAGTGGAAATAACGTATCTTTATTTATCCTGTCAGTTTCTGTTAATATCTTGAAGACTTCGAACAGATCACTCCTTTAACCTTCTAAATTCTAGAGAAACCAGAATTTGTATAAATCTCTCATTATAACCTAACTGTTTCCTTATATTATGTCAGCTCCTTCCTCCGCCATTAGGAATCCTCCAGTCAAAAATGTGCATTCAAGCTCTTTTACTGCCTTACAAATAACAGGACCTACTCGGTGTATCAGTAAGACAAAGGGCCTGGTGACTGTTAGTTGAAACAGCGCAGCTTTGCTGCAACTGACCTTAATAACCCTGAACTAGTGTTTTGTTATAATTTTTTATATATCAGATACTCTACTTGGCTTTGACTGTGTGCAAAATAGCCACTGCATTTGCTAATGGTACACAAGTCTCTGCATTTCAAACAAAAACGTAAAGTGCCGGAGAAAGTCTGTAACATTTCGAAGGGTCACTGGACTCAAAATGTCAACTCTGTTTTTCTTTGTCTACAAATGCTGCCAGAACTGCTGAGTTTCTCCAGCATTTTCCTTTTTTGTTTCAAATATCCAGCATCCACAGTTCTTTCCTTATCTCGGCATTTCAAAGTCATGTAGTGTACATGAAACACACTGAGATGCATCAGAGATGTGGTAAAATACACATCAAGTCACTCACACACTCACACATACACACATGCAAAGGGAGGCAGAGACTAACTTCCATTTGAATCTAGCGCAGTAGAATTTTTTGGCACAAAATGGTTACTTCTGGGAATGAACAGACCTCAACTGCTAATGGAGAACTACTTACAGTAACCTGCCTTACAGGGTTTTTTCAAACTATCTCCTCCTCTTAACTGTTCCCAAGATCCTTTGGCTAGTTTCCAGATGGTATTAATTATAGCATTGGAAGTCACAGGGGCTGCAGCAGCTTGAAGCTCTTATTAGGAGGGTCCTTTTATATAATCCACAGGGACACAATCAGTGAAGAGCAGCATCATACCTGGCTCAGCCCAAAGTACTAATTAGAAGCTCACAGCAACCGCCTCACCTGGCCTGCTCAGTAACAAGGAAAATAAAACACAGAATTATGCTGCTGGCATTTGCTAGACACAGGAACTACTGAAATTAGGAATGACATGTGCACAAGGCACACCTGCCCACAAGTGCCATCTAAAGACAACCAGCAACAAGTTCATTTCCCACAAGACATCTCAGCTTAAAAAACATGTCTTGCCTATTAATTGTGTGTTTCAGCACAATTCAACTGAAGAAGCTATCAACTGCCCAGTGAATCTAGCCTTAGTGAGAGCTTGCAATGCTTCAGATACATCAATAAATCCCTCTGCGCTTCGCACCAGTTATTTATTGCATGCAAGAGGGGAGAGAGGCAGTAGCAGCTGAAGAGATGTCTTAAACTTACATTTTTCTGCTTTATCCAAACAATGTATTCTTTCTCCTATTGCACTTGAAAGCATTCACTTGTACAGGACCAACCTCACAGTTATGAACATCCCTCCTGTGTCTTTGTGAAGGTGTTGACTCCTTATGGTGACAATTGTGAAGTTAGCTAATCGAGCTGTTAAAGTGTGCATTTCAGATCCCGACCATTCACTACAAAAACGCTTTTCATTTCACTGTTGGTTTTGCCAATTACTTTAAATTAGTATCCTCTGGTTCATGACCCATCTGCTGAAGGGAAGAGTTTCTCTCTATCTGCTCTATCTAAACCTTTGTGATTTTGAGCACTTTGTTCAAATATCGTCTAAACCTTCTCTTAGGAGAAGGGCCCCAGCTTCTCCAAACTATCCACGTAATTAAGACTCTAATCCCTGGAGTCATTCTCTTTTATCTTTTCTGCACCCTCTACAGTCTTCACATCTTTCCCAAAGTTCAGTGCCCAGAATTGGATTCCAATTGAGGTCTGACCAATGTTTTAAAAAGTTTCACAATGAATTCATTACTTGTATATACTAGGCCCTAATTTATAATGCTTGGGATCCTGTATGCCTTTGTAACTAATTTCTCAATTTGTCCTGCCACTTACAAGGATTTGTGCACAGAGACCCTCAGATTTTTGCTCCCGAACACCCTCTGCAATCATATCTTTTATTTCATGTTGCCTTCCCTCATTCTTCCTAACAAAATGCATCACTTCACACTCCTAGGCATTATATTTTATCTATCAAGTACCATACTTTGCAGCTGCCTATCTATGTGCACTTGAAGTTAATCATTACCCTTCTCAGTTTTCACAATATGCCCTATAAGTTGCTACTGTCCCTTTTGTTGGATAGTGAGTGATCAAGATTGGTACTCTAGGATACTTCTCCCCTCCTTTGCCAAACCCAAATCAAGAATTGAGTCATTCAGCTTCTGTTTGGTTACATCTTTTGAACTTTGCAAGCACCACAAACATGAAAGTTCAGGAAGGCGACTGGAGACATGGTCAAATTGGGAGCTTTTGAGGCAGTTTTTGATGGTAGCAACGGAAGTACCATGAAGGATTTATTGAGCAATGGATCAGTAATTTGCACAAGTTCCTGATTATTTCCTGAAATTGTGTTCTACCCCCTCCAATTAGAAACCTTAAGATTTAGTTTACTTTCTCTACTACTGTCACACAAAGTGCTTATGGTTTCAGTGAGCTATCCATTACAACTCCACGGAATCAGACAAACAGTTCAGTCAATGTTTCCACTATTAATTTGCATTTCCCAGTCACATAACCTTAGCTGAGCATAAAATAAATTAAATAATGCCTCTTGTCAGTCCAGTTTCTTAACTCAAAGTCCCTCAAAGGTTGATCCACATGTTGTATAACCTGCAATCAGCCACTCCTAACAAGGACGAAATAAAATCTCACTACAAGTTGTCATGTAAAGGTATTTCCCAGAGACCATAAAAACTTTTTGGCTGCCCATATGCACCTGAGCCTACTGTTTTTGTGCCCATTTTTATTTTTCATTAATCTCTCTAGACCGTGTATTCCTGACACTTTTTGAAATCTACTTCTTGGATGAGGTTATTGGCCTTCTCAAGTTGGTTAGAAATTTTTTTGATGATACTCCTATGAAGTGTCATGGGATATTTACTACATTAAAGGTGCTATGAAAATATAAATTAATTTTGGAATACACTGCCTTAAAGGGCAGTGAAAACCAATAGCTTTCAGAAAGAAATTGGACAAAAACTTGAAGGAGAAGTCATAGAAGTCATAGAATCCCTACAGTGTGGAAACAGGCCCTTCGGCCCAACAAGTCCACACTGAACCTCAGAGTATCCCACCCAGACCCGTGCCCTTTTAACCCACCTAATCTACACATCCCTGAACATTACGGGCAATTTAGTATGGCCAATCCACCTAACCTGCACATCTTTGGACTGTGGGAGGAAATCCACGCAGATACGGGGAGAACATGCAAACTCCACACAGACAGTTGCCCGAGGCTGGAATTGAACCCTGGTCCCTGGTGCTGGGAGGCAGCAGTGCTAAGCCCTGAGCCTCAAAGAATACAGGGGAAAGCAGAAGGGTGTTTCTCATTGGATAGCTCTACCAAAGGGACAGCTTTAGATATGATGGGCTCTTGTGGTGCTGTGGTAGAATCCTTATGTGAGAGACAGAAGGCTCGAGTTCAAGTTCCACCTGCTCTAGACGTGAGTAATAACATCTCTGAACAGGTTGATTAGAAAATATCTAAACATGATGGGCTGAATTGCCTCTTTTTGTGTAGTGGGAAAGATTGCGGCATAGTGGTAATGTTACTAAAGTAATTAATCAGGACCTCAAATTATTGGGTTCGAATCCCATGATCACAGATGGTGAAATTTGAATTCACCAAAATCTCAATATAGCCTAAAGGGGTCAGGTAACCATTGTTGATTGTTGTGAAGACACTGGTCCATGAATATCTTTCAGGGACAGAAATCTGTCATCCTTACATGGTTTGACCTACATGTGACTCCACACCCACAGCAATATTGCTAACTCTTAACTCCCTCTGGGCAATTAGGAATGGGCAATAACTGCTGGCCAAGCCAGAGACACCCACATTCCATTAATGAATAAAGTAAAATCTACAATTCTATTTTCATGTACACAATAACACGCTCAACTTATTAAAAAATCTTTTGTGAAATGTGGGTGTCGCTGGCAAGGATGGCCATTTGTTGCCCTTCCTTAATTGCACCCAAGAAGGTGGTTGTGAGCTGCCTCTTGAATCACTGTGTTCCATCTTATGTAGGTGCTGTTAAGGAGTTCCAGGACTATGACCCAGCAATACTGAACGAATGTCATTATAGTTCCAAGTCAGAATGATGTATTGATAGGAGAACAATTTGCAGATGGTCATGTTCCCGTGGGTCTGCTGCCTGTGTCCTTCTCAGTGGTATAAGTCAAGAGTTTGGGAGTGGCTGTTAAAAGATGCTTGATGAGTTGCTGGAATGCATCTTATATAACCCATATAGTTAATTAAACAAACTTTGTTATAGACGATGCTGAGTATCATCAGCGCTGCTGTTAATTTGCTTTGCTTTGTGTTGTTGATTGAAGGAGGAACATTAGCCAGGATAGTGGGTGAATTCCTTGAATGGTGTTACGGGTTCTATAATGTTGACTAGAGTCAAAGGAGGCAGCACACAGGCCTTGGATTAAATGTTTCACACACACGATAAAACCTCCAACCATGCAATGCTTCCTCAGAGCTGCAGCACAAATCAGCAGAGGTCATGCACTCATATCCTGGTGTGGAGCTTGGACCTAAATCATCTGACTGTACTGAGACTCATAAAGCAAAAAGGCCCCATGTTTAATCATCTGTCTGTTCTGACTGATCTCACAGCTGAAAGGGAATGTTAAAGTGGCTTTCAAAATCTTGGTTAAAGAAAAAGCCATAGGGAAGGAGAGATAACTAGGGCTGCTGAAAACGTATTAATTGACACTATTCAGAAGAAGGAACATGTGGTGGAGAGCAGGTGGCGTTAGATGAATAGCAGAAAATAAGAGCATTGGATCAACTTCTCATCAGGATATGTGTTGCATTTTTCAGAAAACTCTGCTCCACTTCCTCCTCTTCATCCCAAAATGTCTTGTCAATGCAAAACAGGCTCAGCTCACCTGTGTCATTTTATCCACAGAGACTGGGATTCCATCAATTGTCAGTGGTGGAAGGTCAGAATTAATCTCCTGAGGAGTGGGAGCATGCTCTGCCAGTGCCGACTCCAGGTCTTCCAGGATCATACTTTTATACTTGCGTACCTGTGGGAAAGGCAGAAGTTTTGGGTAAACAATCTGCAGGGTGGCAACTGAGGGAACAGACGCTAGGCAACAGCCTGCTGCAGGTGCTCCACAGCAATGAGCTGTGTTAGCAAAACATGGTCACATCTGCTGCTGTGATTCAGAGAGAAGATGATGAGGGAGGACAGGGAAGTTACTAACCAGCACAGGCAACCAGGAATTGGACCAAACCCAAAGGACAGCAATTACCAGCAGCGCACTGAAAAGCCACGTCAGTGTCTGAAGGACAAATATCTCCAAGGAGGGATGGTCACGCAGCTCTCTTACCTTCTTCCCACTATTGTGCACATTAAAGGAATTACATAATTTGATGATCTATTGCTCATGAGCAACTAATCATCACACTTATGCCAACATGCATTTAGCTTCCAATTCTGGCACATGCATCATGAGGGGTCAGAAAAGAAGTGACATGTTTCCTTGCCTGCATGGTAGACTAGGCCAGTCTTAAAGGTACCCCAAACAGAATTCTCAATCTTGGCTCACAAGGAATGTATAGTGGTAATGTCCCTAGGATGGGGGTTTTTAAGATTAGAGGGTACATTTTTAAGGTGAGCAGAGAGAGATTTGAAAAAAAGACATGAGGATGGTTCGCATGTGGAATGAACTTCCTGAGGAATGGTGGATGTGGGCACAATTACAACATTTAAAAGACATTTGAATAAGTACATGAATAGGAAAGATTTGGAGGGATATGGGCCAGGAGTAGGCCGTTGGGACAAGTTTAAGTTGGGATTACGTTTGGCATGGACTGGTTGGACTTCAGCAATCCAGAACCCTAGGCTGATGGGGATGTGGGTTCAAATCCCAAAATGGCAGATAGTGAAGTTTGAATTCAATAAAATCTGGAATAAAGATCTGGGCTGATGGCGACCACTGTCGATTATCATAAAAACTCCCCGCTTCATTACAGTCCTTAAGGGAAGGAAATCTGCCATCCTCACCTGGTCAGGCCTACATGTAACTCCAGATCAAAGCAATGTGGTGGACTCTTAACTGACCCTGGGCAATTAGGAATAGGCAATAAATGCTGGCCTAGTCAGCAATGCCCACATTCTGTGAACAAACAACAATGCACCACCATCCAACACATCCTCTCAGTAAAGGAAGAAATATCTTTAAAAATATTAAAGTAAACATAATGGAACAGTACTAAATTACACAAAGCTGGAACGTTCCAGCAGGCTTTGTACATCGTTGAAAGATGGGGAGGAAAAACTAAAGATATTGGACAGAGTGGACTTCTCAACTGAAGCTGTATTTGAATGGCAGCCTGCCGGATAGTGAGCAACTGCACAAGTTTATATTTATCATGAAAAAAGAAAATAACCATGTTTGATATATTGGGTAAAATAGTCAATGATTCCAAGTTTTGTTGCAGCCTGAACACTAACGTTCACCACACCCCAATTAATAGCAAAGTCTGGTGTGTTTTTTTCTTTAGAAAGCAGATGCTGGCTTCAGCTCCCCAGGGGAATACCTCAACAAGTAAATTCACACCTTCCTGCTCATTTGCCAATACAATCCTACCCATGACCAACAGCATCTTGCACTGTTTTCCTGAAATGCATCAAAGTGCAATTGCTCTACAGGGAATAATCCCCAGCCCCCACAGCAAAACAGCCTGGGGCACATTCAACCCTCTCCCCTGGATTTACTCAGAGGTAATAATAACCTGACCCAATGGCAGATGAGAAGAGGGTATCGAGCAGTCAGCTCAAAGTTAATTTGCAGCATGAAGTGTTTCACATTTTTTTTCCTGAGTGGCCCTCCAGGTTGCTTATTTCAGAGACAGAATGGATTCGCTCCATGGTGTATTACAAAAGCATTAGCACCCCTCTCTGAGGTGGTGGTGGAGGAGGAGGAGGAAGTAGGTTAGAAAACTAATTTTTTGGATGGTGGGGGAGAAACAGGGTATGTTGTGATGCTAACAGGCACGTTCTAAAATGGGTCCCAAAGTACAGCTGTATGTGGCTGTGTAAGACTTGAACCGTAGAACATGTTCAGGGGAATGTTGGCAAAGAGAAAAGCAGATAAATTGGACATTCTCCTGTCATTCTCCCATTGCCAACCTTACACCAAATGTAGGCAAGAAGGTGGCTTTGAGGCTTCTATAAAAGAGGTATGAAGAGGTACAGGATGGTGGCCTGCGGTGGTCATGGGGAGACAGAACAAGTCCTATTACTTACAATGTCTCCTGTAGGGGAGGCCTGGTAGCACTGAATACTAGTTAGAGATACCCGCAGGTGCGGTGACATCAGTGTGATCTATAGACACACAGTGGGATTGGCAGGATGCAGATCTCACAGCATTGCAGCCCCACGTAGAACCCAGAAGGACAGGAATCTGCAAACAAATCACTGGCCCTTCTGGTTGTGAACCTGGCTGCCTTGATAGAAAACCTAAAATGAATGGTGGCAACGAAAAAGAGAAAAACACACAGGTCCTTCACAACTTACCACATTCTCAAGAGGAGCAGCTCCAAACACTTTAAAAATGGGGTTAGGTTTGGAGGGCGAGATGCACAGCACGATTGCCTGCTGGCCAACTCTAGTTGTGTATTCATCCAACGTAGCCCGTAATTTCCTAAGGGAGGGAGAATAGATAAACTCCGATGAGATGATGAAAGCCTCTTTTCATGACAAAAAACCCAATGCCAGTTTCACTTTGGCTACTGACATACTGCAGGCATATTAGTATAAAGGACACAGATTTGCTGTCTCCCAATAGTGGCCTATCCTGAATATTTTTGACAGCCCAGAAGCGTAGTAACTGTGATCCTCAACTCCTTAACCGCAACATGCCCAGAGCATATTGTCATAAAGCAAAATGGGTCAGAAAAGGTTTAGCTCCACTTTCCAACTACCCTAAGTACAACAGAAAAAGTAAGCTTTTTTTAAAGTTTAAGACTAATTTACTCCAAAAAATGCCCAACAAAAATTGTGTTATATCCAGTACCTTTTAGTGACAGGGTAGAGGCAGGAAAAAAAAAATCTTAATGGATCTGAATTTTGGACAATATACTACAGGTTTTACTGGCTCAGCAAGACCAACAATCTCAGTGAGCTTGCACTGCATACTACCTGCATACTGTAAAAACTTGTATCTTTTAATGCTGCAGCAATTTTGGTTGAAAGGAATACATCTGTCAGATTGAGTTTCAATCAAGCCTCAAACATGATGCAAAACCCTACAATTCTGGTACAGCAGGAAGTAGATGCAGATTAGGGTCCCCGTGCCCTGCTCCTATAACATGTCTAAAACATGGGGCCCTTCCAATGGCTTTGTTAATAAATGTACTGCCCTTTGCTGTACTTAGCCATGAAGGTCAGGAAAATCCTGGGTTTGATCCACAGTCTGTGCCAAGTTGGCTGATCTCTACCAGAGTTCTGGTGGGCTGCTATACTCGAGCTCATTGTCCAAAGGCATGGGGGTAGGAGGAATATCCAAGGCTGCAGCTCCTGATCATGACCTTGGTTGTTGGGAGAAGGAGATGCATGCTAATCTGAGACACCCACGGCCATAGCCTACTGATGCTCACCAATGTTTGAAGTATAAAAAAAAGGATCAAATAAAAGTGTTACAAACAAAAATGATTTAAAATTATGCACCACAGGTGGAAAACACACAAACAACTGGCACAGGGAGCGGTCTGGAAAATAAAACTCAGACCTCCAGAGGAAAGCTAAACATGACTGAGAGCTAATATCGTTTTGTGTAGTTTGCCTATTGGCTCTTTTGATACATATAAATAGATCTCCTTCAATCCATGGCAACTAAGGTTAGAAGATCTTTGAAATATATAACAAAAGTTTCAAATGACACCAGGGCAGATTAATCAACAGATAGACCAGCTTTCCTCCACTGCCAGCTGTGAATAGTGAGATAGGTCACACCAGATTCGTACAGCAGTCCCAGCCATTTGCTCATTTACAGCCCTCAGTGACAGTTCTACCGTGTGCAATACTTTTCTGTCTATGGTTCCAGTATTAAGTACTCCCAGGCTCGACAATAGATGTAGAGTGAAACTCCCTCCACTCTAACAATGTGACTTAACCTCAGAAGATCAACTCACTCGGTTACAGACGTGGATTTGAAGCAGGGATCTTCCCGGTGCACGGCCAGGCTCTGGGCAGTGTATTTACTAACTACACCAATGGGGCTGCTTTGAAAAAAAAAGTAAAATTCTACATCAGCTGTTTTTTAAAGCAATCAGTCAATCATATAAGAAAAGGTCACTGGGCCAATCAAGACACATCACATCTACATGCATTCTCCCATCACAGCATCATGTTGCAATCTGGATATTCCCACTGTCTTTCCTGCTATTACTTTGCATTGCAGAACATCCTAAGCATTTCTCTCACACCAAATAAAAAAAATTTCTTAATATTTGTTCTAAATTATTTTAAGTAAATTTCCAATGTCAGCACAAGCTCAATCATGAAAAAGGCTTGAGGGTTTGGTGTACTCCTGTTCCTTTGTTCATCTGGGGCAATTTTCTTAAGTGTGTTTGGAAATAGTCTCCACTCTGACTTAACCTATAACATTTACGTCAGTAATTTTTAGACTTTGATGGGATTCTACCCTTACCTTCACCACCATCTAACCCCCTACCTCACTTAACCACCTTCTTTCTCACCTCAAGAGATCACCCTCCTCTTATCTTTCCTCATGAGTAATCACCATGACACATGGGCTCCATTCTTTCTGCTTTGCCCTGGACCCCTGCCTATATAGTTGTCTTTTACTTGGAAATTAGTACAGTGAGCTGGGATTTCTTGGCCTGGGAGTGCAGGCTCACCGTAGCAACCGTGTCTGCTGCCTTTTGCGTATTGAGGGATTGGATTCAAAGGCATGAGGCCGTTTCCGTTTCTTGCCTGTTGCCACAGCAGCAGCCGCCGCCATTCCCACTGGACCTGAAAGCAGAGTATCGAGAGGTCAGTGAGAATTCACATTTGGGAAAGGAAGGGGGGAACCAGTAAACAATGAAAAGTAAAACAAACATCAGAGATACCAGCTTAGATTGCAGTCATAGAGGGAGAAAAAGTCCCTTCGGTCCATCAACTCTGCGCCAATCAAAAATAACCACTTAGCTATTCTAATCCCATTTTCCAGAAAAGACGGAATAAAATAATTCCGAATCCCCAATTTTTCTGGTTTTGGTTAAATAATTTAACCTCCTACTCCTATCCCGAAAGTTTTCAGCTGAAATCAGATACGCCCTCATCTGGTACAATGAGCTTTGTCATTGAAGATGGGCACAATGATGCTATTTAGCCAAGTAAATTGCACCTTTCTCAACCCAAAATGTCCTACAATGTTTTACAAATGAAGTGCTATTGAAGTGTATTCACTGTTGTAACATAGAAAATGCCGGGGACAATCTTAGTACAATCCGAACCCACAAATGTGTGTGTGTGTGTGCGCGTGTGTGTGTTTGAGAGAGAGAGTGAGTGAGTGAGTGAGTGAGTGAGAGAGAGAGAAAGAGAGAGATTGTATAGAGAAGGGGGAGGAATTTGAAGAGAAGATTGAAGTGGATACAGAGCTCCATTTAGGATTGTTAGGTGCAATATCTTTAGGCTGTTTAGGCAGGAGGCAGCTGGCAGAGGCTGAATGGCCACTTCCTCCAACATAGAGTTTATTTTCCATGTTTCTGCCTATGCTCAGCTTCAGACAACCTGGAAAATTCCTGGTCTCTGCAGCTCACCAGGACTCAGCTGTATGTTGGGGGGGGAGAAAACATGCAAAATGTCTACAATGCTGAATATTTAGTAAAAGGCAGGTCATATCAACATATAGTTAAAAAGTGGGAGAATATGAAACAAATGTTGCCCTAACATTTCAGTGGTTAAATATACTACATGATGTAAATACCAAGCCACATTATTCCATACACTCCCCATGGTCAATTTGCATTGCGAGGCTAAACTGGGATTTTCCGCCAATGTCATCAGTACCCTTGGGCTTGGTGCAAAAAGTCTTCATCCAGAATACTCGTGTATCTTATGGACAGTGCTATGCATGAATGTTGGGGAAAAAGCAGGATTGGATTGGTTCCCCATATCATGTATCATGTGCACATTCATGGCCCAGAGTCAGAACGTGAAAAGTGGGGACTTGAAAAGGTGCCTGTGAATATATGAATCACAGAAACAAAGAATGGTTACAGCATCTTCTGAAAGGAATTGGATACAGGCGGCAAGCTTCAGTACAAGGAAAACCAGACTGAAAAAAAAAGTCCAAATTAATTTAAAGGGATTTAAAAATTATTGGTGACTCCCTTTGAATCTGTGACTTTCTCCTTGATTCTAGCTGGTTAACACGACATAACGATGAATTTGTATGTTAGACACAGTCTCGCTGCCTCAAGACACCGAGAGGTAGGTTTGTTTTTCTGATGGCTGTATAGCACCCTCTGCTGGATCTACCATCCACAACATTATCTTGAGTCTTTATTTTTCTTTCTGCAATTTCTCCTTTGCTTATGGCATTAATCCATTGCCAGTTCCTTCCTCGTACTTCATTCAATTGGATATTTTCCGTTTGTGAAGTTAGAAAACATCCACAGGCCATGCACCAACACATGAACAGCAATTCTGGGGAAGGAAGAGCTTTGCAGCCAATTTTACTCTTTTTTGAAGTCGCCTCTATAATTGAGTAAATATAGCAGCCTGTTTCCCAATGAAATAAATGACCAGATAATTTGTTCTGTCATGACTGAGGGGTAAATACCAGCTAGGACCCTGGGGAGAGCTTCCCAGTTCTTCAAAATTCTTTTAGGATCTATATGTCCACCTGAGAAGGCAGATAGGACTTTGATTCAAATGACTGACAGCACATCACTCTGCCAGTAATGCAATGGGTATGTCAGCTTGGATTGTGGGCTCAAATTTCTGGTGGGACTAGAATCCAAAACCATCTGACAAACAGGTGAAAGTGCTACTCGACTGATGGAAGTATCAGAGGGTGAAACGACACCAGAACTGTACTCCAGTGAGGAACCACAATCTGGGGAAGATGGAGGAATAGTAAGTTAAAGAAATACGATCAAATTGGAAAAAGAAAGTGTGCCATTTGGTGCAAGATCAAAATGTGTTATAAACCACTGGCATGGAAAGGACCCAGTCTTAATGTTTACACTCAGAAGAGAAGGCAAGACATGAGCTTCCCTCCCTCCCAGTCCAAAGTCTCACCTGCTGCAGCAAGATGGGCTGTGACTTCGTCTGTGATGGTTGAATTTAGGATATCAGAATCATCAAAGGAGGTCTCCTCTGGGGATGAAGGGGAGTCATCCTCTCCACTCAGGACCACGTGGTCTGTGTAAGTGGCCACATGCACCTGCTGAACTTGCTGGGCAACAGCGTGAGCCTCGATAGTCGTCATGTGCTCGTGGTTTTGATTAGCTCCGTGTCCTTCCATCAAACTTTACTGCTGCAGGCAGGAAATAGAGGACACGGAGGAAGAGGTTAGCAATGAGAACAGAACAATCTTGGCAAAAAAAACCTATAAGAAGACTAAAAAAGTCTAGAAGAGCTTATATTTACATATATACAGCCTGTAACATAATGGCCTCAGTGCTTATAACTAGGAACAATTCTATAATTGCCCCAACATCAATAATAATTGACAATTATCACTTAATTGATATATTCATTAAAATTTAATCTGTATGGCAAGACTGATGGGAATTATATATCTGGGTGGGGACGGAATAATTTCACTAACAAATTTAGGAATTACTGGGAGGAAGTACTATTGCAAGGAAGGTGAGGAAACTGCATTACCCAACATGGCCAAATACTTCACTGTAACTCAGTAACAGCTCTGGCAGATTTTTCATCAACACTTACTCATTTAAATAAAATGCTCAACAACAGATGTAAAATCAGAACCGAGAGACAAAGTTAAAGTAAAGGTTTATAGCTCAGCAAGTCTGTATAATGTGTAACTCTCCCATAGAACAATGATGAAAACATATTCCATAATCAGTCTGTGTTCAGGTAGCTGACCTCAATCAGGGCAAGTGCACTTGGTTCTGCAACGGATTTCTCCAGCAGATTTTCTGAAACTGAAGGAAGAATATGCATATATTTAGCACCTCAAGACAATCCACAGGATGGCACAGTGGTTAACACTGCTGCCACACAGCGCCAGGGACCTGAGTTCAATTCTGCCCTTGGGTGACTGTCTGTGGAGCTTACACTTTCTCCCCATGTCTGTGTGGGTTTCCACCAGGCGGTCAGGTTTCATCCCAAAGTCCAAAGATGTGCAGGTTATGTGGATTGGCCCAGTTAAATTGCCCTGTACTGTCCAGGGATGTGTGGGCTAGGTGGGTTAGCCATGGAAAGTACAGGGATAGGGTAGGGGTTTAGGTCTGGGTGGGATGCTATTTGGAGGTTCAGTGTGGATTTGATGTGCCGAATAGCCTGTCTCTATGCTGTAGGGATTCTATTGCACTGACGCAGACTGATTATGGAATACGTTTCCATCCTTGTTCTATGGCTGAGTTACACACTACATAGGCTTGCTAAGCTATAAACATTACTTAACTCTTTCTCTCAGTTCTGAGTTTATTTCTGTTGTTGGGCATTTTATTTAAATGAATGAGTCACACTACATTCACAAGTCAGAGGACTGAACAGGATGAAATTTTAGCAAAATTACATTTTTTTGTTTTTACTCAATAGTGACATCTAGTAGCCAGTGTGAGTAATACAATAATGGACTCAATCTCAGCTTTTGAAGGCCAATCTACTGTCCCTGGTATGGCAGTGGGTCAGTGGAAGAACAAGCAATTCTGTCTGAAAACAGATCATGGAACATGGCTCCACAATTATCTCAGCTAATCTACGGTTTTTAAAACAGTCATGTCAATCAGTGCTGATTTAATTTTTTTCATTGAACATTTTAAGTGATGAATTTAACTAGGTCAATTCCAATTTGAACTTGGGCAGAATTTCTCAATTGCTCCCAAAATGAAAATTCTTCTGCAGTGACTGTTAGATGTCAAGGGTACAATGTGAAACTACACCAGACATCTCAAAATAGAAACTTACACAAATGGTTCAGAAATTGGTCCACCTCTCCCAGAAATATTTGGTATCTGATCAGATCTCAAAGCTTAACAGTTTGAAATGTTATGCAACAGTAACTATGCATCTTGGAGGCAGTTTATTCAGGGTTGCTTATTGTGGCTTCTGAGCAGCCAGTGTCAAAAGCTTGAGACCAGCTCAACATCTTGTCACATCAGACTTGAGTGATCATTCTTTGCATATGTGCAAAAGATACAAAAAAATGAGTGCACTTCAAAGACACAATGGGAAGGAATAGCTGTGTATGTGTACAGAAATAGTGTCATTTTTATTTATTTGGCTGATGAAAGAAGCTTATTATTGCCTATCCCTATTCACCCTTGAGAAGG